ATGGGAGTGAAGAAAAAAAACCTTGAGGGAACCAGACTCAGTTGGGCACGACCATTTTAATTTCTCCGCTGGCCAAAAGTCTTGTGCAGAACTTCATTCGCCGAAACCACCTGCAGAAACCAAGGTTGTGATGTTCTATTACACTATGGGTTTTTTAAAAATATCTGTTTTACAATACATGACTTTCTTCTTTTTTGTACTATTACGGTTAAATCAAAATGAGTAGACTAAAAAGTATTAATTATTAAGCCAAAAAATATAAAACCCAATTATACACTATTTTTGTAAAAGAATATGTGCAAATAAAAATACACACTTTTGTCTTTGAAGCCTTTTCGTCTTTGCATTAACTTGTGTTGTATTACAGATTTTCAGTCGCTTTGGTACATTTCTCAGGTTTTAAATTTACAAAACATTAAGTCCATTTCTCAAAACAGCATATACAAATAGCAAAACAGCATGGATGACCTGCAAAAGCCAGTCTCTTGCTTAACATCCTTCATCTCTCAATGAATATGTCAGTGCCGTCAGAAGGAAACGTCCTTGTGTCATTGTGTACGGATAAGACAGTCCATCATGTTTAGGGCCAGACCGAATCTGTGGACATTTTTTGCTATTTCTGCACAGAATTGTGTTTAAAATCGGTGGATTTTGTGGAATGATTTTGGAAGTATCATAACTAAAACCTTAATATAATAAATAAAAAGTAATACCTTTCAACTTTTAAAATTTTATGTTTACAATGCAAATACAATTAGATCATCTTTATTTGGTAAACAAAGCAAGTCTTAAAAGACAGAAAATATTAGACTAATAGACAGAAAATATAACTTTAAAACTGTATTGTACAAAATTCATATAAATATTTTCATATTAGTCAATAATATCACCGTAAATAATTTAAAAACTGAATAAACATAGATTTACACAAGTAAATAAACAGAATTAATGATCGGCTAAGAATCTGTGGAATTCTGCGTGCGTAGATTCTGTGTGGGCCTAGTCATGTTGTCAGTATAACAGTGTACTCTGGAGGGGTGTTCTGAGGTAAACTTTGGCTATTTTTTTATTTATTTTATTTGCTGTTTGTACTGTGATTTGTTGCCAGATCATGTCATTGTGATACAAAAAGGAAAAGACAGCACTGCATAGGACAAAGAAAAAACAAAACAAAAGTAGAAATGTGAACAGGACAATCTCCTTTCAGATGCACCTCACCTTCATTAGACAAAGTCCAGATTGACCTGGGAGCAATTTACCAATTATAGATTTACAAAAAGGTCTAATGGAAATGTATAGCAAATGCATTATGACTAAATATTATGACAACTTGTTCACCTTCTTTTATATTTATAACTTGACATTAACTTTTTTCTCACCACCCCACTGATCATTTTCACAAGACAAAATGTTGTTGTTGGAAACTGTATTTTATATACTTAAATTTGACTTTTGCATGCTAAAAGTACTTGAGTAAGAGCCATTTTACTTGATTTTGGGTCATTAAAATAACTCTGACCACCAATATTATGATAAAGGTAGCCTAAACCTGCTGTAGTCAACCTAAAACCTAAAGTAGTGTGACATAAAACCAAAACAAAACCCATTATTGTCTTAGGACATTTTTATTAGGCAGATTCTTGAATAACAGTAAGTTCGTGACATGTTAAATATATAGTATAATCTGCTGGTTTTAAACACACAGAATAATAATAAATACAGTTATGTAACAACCATAACATTACCATTAGGTCTTGGGACATTTTTGATTAACTTTTTATTACCTACACCAAATGTTGACTAATGAAGGTACATTTATAACAACTAGCCTATTTATTTGTTTGACTACTGTCAAACCATATTGCATACAAATGCATTCAACAAACTTATGTGACAGTGTATTGCTAGAGGACAAATAAAGCACAAGACAGGTGTTTAGAAAGAGTTTAGTTTATTTTGTTTGACCTGCAAACTTATCTAAACAAGTTAAATTTTCAGAAAACATCACGGAAACGTTATAATGCGTGCACTCATGAATATAACTCGCAGTTGTCTTCAACGGTTGTCTTCAATAGATCGTCTTTGCTCAACAACTCTGCTTAAAAACAAAGCAAAACATTACAACAGCCAGACATACATTTAAAACATTACAGTTACCATGGTTTCTATTTTAAACTATAGTAAACTAAAGTTTGAAACTATAGTTTAAAATAGACGATGAGTGGGCCTCGCTGCTCTCCCACCCACCATAACCCTCGCAGCGGGGTCCCACTACAGGTCCTCCCGTGTTTCCCTGAGGGTCCTTAGGGCTTGTATTGATCCCTGCCTAGTGTTCACAAGCCGCCTCACCCCAGGGAGTGCACGAGCTAACCGGGCACCAGTCCGTGCCAGTGTTCACTGGAATGTTGCTCGGCGGCACATTTTGAGCAACAAACACGTAATGTTCTTCACGATATTGCGTTTATGTATGCAAACCGCAAGGAACTACAGCACAGACGGGTCCGAGTGAAGCTTCACGAAGCGGTCTTCGTGAGATTGGCGTGACTCCACTCGTACCGTTGGTATTGAACTCACCTTGGTCAAGTACAAACAGCAACACCAAGCGAACTGACAACACTGAGAGAGAAGCGACGAGCTTTATTGGAATGCCGATGCAAATGTTTACAATCCCATGTCACTGCTGTAAGTCTCGTTGTCATGGTGAGCGCACCTCTGAAGAGAGCGCACCTCATTGGAGCACTATGATTGGAGCACACAGGCTCGGGAGTTGCGGTCGGCAGTGGACAAAAACATATTGAATAAATATTTTTTTACATTTTTGGTGCTGTGAAATAGTCTGGGATGCAGTAGAACAGTGGTTCTCAAACTGTGGTACGTGTACCACTAGTGGTACGCAGGCTTCCTTCTAGTGGTACACGGAGAAATGAAATATGTCATGTACATGCTATACAAATTTCAAAATTAATCAAAAATGATGGATATAATATATCATGTATGGCATATAGCCTATATTTCTGATGTAATCTGCCACGTTTTTTAACTGTGCAGAGTTGTAGCTGCTTTACTGGGCCTACTGCGCTACTGTATTGTAATACTGCTCATTTTGGTGGTACTGGGAGAGACCATTTTTTTCTGAGGTGGTACTTGATGAAAAATGTTTGAGAACCACTGCAGTAGAATATGGAGACAGATGAATATAATTAAGCAAAACATTAGAACAGAAAGTGAGCCCGGCTAGGACACACTGCTCTGATCAATGACTGACTAACTCCTAGTGGTGGTAAGCTTCTTATTATCCAAGATCGCCATCTAGCGGTCACATAACCTAATAGCATGTTACTTGCTACTAACCACCCACTTCACGGTCAAAAAGGTCCGGCATTTGTCATTTTAATTATTTTATGTAAATTAATATTGTATAATATATTATTTATATAATTAATATTATATATTCATATTCAATTTATATTCCCGTTACGTCTGTGTTTATGAGACTGTTAGATCAATTCATTCGTTTTATTCTGATCAGATGTCAGATCGCTCAAACCACTTCAGAAGGTGATTTGGGGTGCGTTCCAGATGAAACTGGACAGGTATAATCATTTTTAGACAAAACTAATATGAACAAAAAAAATTATGACCTGGAGAAAATCTGCCCTGTGCCTGAAACACCTGTAGGTGCGCTTTTACAGCCAAAATTCTATTAAAAACATGTTTACTATAAGCAAAAAACGTGTGCTCTAACTTTTCAGGCCTGTAGACAGGGGGGTTCGGAAGGCCCACCCCTCACTGACAGTGACAAAGGTCCAGAATTTGTCCCATACATTAGCTCAATTGTTCTATTCTGACTGCTATGTCATCACAAGTAATGAAAATAATCCATCGAAAAAGGCGTTAAGACCAAACGGAATCTTCTGTCGGCTGTTGCTTTGGTGGGACTATAATCTGACGTAAGAGAAGTCTTCTTTCACTGCTGTATTGTTTTTAAACAGAGAAAACATTTTACAGGTGTAAAAAAAATGTGTGAAGCACCAAAAGCGGACCATATAAAATTAATTTGAATATATTTTGCCTATTGTTTATTTCCAGGAATTTTAAAATGTACTTTGTTTTTGCCAAAGAGACTAGAAAAATTCTGAAGAATTCATTATTATTATTATTATTATTATTACCATGTATTATTACTGTTATTATTATTATTATTATTATTATTATTATTATTATTATTATTATTATTATTATAGAAATTGCCAAATTGTGACTGAGGACAGTTGAATGTGCTGGCCAGGTTTTTTTTTTTTTTTTTGTCTAATAAATAATAGTGAGCTACAGTTTTTTTTTTACTTTAAGACTTTAATAGATTGCTATTTTTTCCAATGATATATGATGTAATAAATTTGTATTTTAAAAAATAGTCTTGTTTTAATTTGTTTTATTGCAATTTTTTAGGATATAAATATTTTAGTCATCAAAAAGTGTGATTATGATGACATCTGACTTGTTTACCAACAAAAAACCCAACTTAAATGCAGTATTTAAATCTCATAGTTAAATAGAAACTGAGTCGTATAACTGCAAATAGGTCCACTTTTTGAGAAAAAAAGAACCACCACTTTCACCAGGCTGGCTACGGGCCAATTTAAACGAATCAAATATATTGCATACAACCATAATGAAATTCATCGACATAATACGTGCAATATTTTAAATCCACATCCTTATTCAAGTGTAAATGACTCCGTCACAAGGACGCAGTTTTCACGTTACTTCTCTCATCGATGTCCAGGCTGTCCAATCACAATCACCTTTACTTGAAAGAGTGTGTTTGTTAAACAAGTTAAAGGATAAAATGTTTATTTGTTTTATTTATTTGGTCTTTTGACTTCATAGATCATTTGACGAATTTGTTTACAAAGCTTCTCCAAATCTACATGGGCGCCACCTGGTGGAAGTTTTACCACCTTGCGGAAAATAGTAATAAGCACGTTTGCATTTGACGCGCCGGACGAGGAGGAGTCACCGGAACGAAAAATGGCGGCTGTGTTGCAGCAGATACTTGAGCGGTCGGAGATATCGAAACTCCAAAAAACAGTTTTGACTAAATTAGAGAAGTACATTTCTGAGCAGCAATGTGAAGTTGATGACCTCAAGGCACAACAGGAGCAATTTCGTGTGGATAGCGGTAAGGCTATGCTATTTTAGTCAATGTAAACAGTTCATAGTCACGAACGAGGCCTGGGTCTGGTTATCTTGAGGTAATTTGTATGATGTTGTTTACGTTAATTCTTGGACGTGTTGTTCTGCAAACTATAACTAGTAAACAATTGTTACAATTAAATTCATAATCTAAATAATTTTTTTCTGTCCACATTGTTACCGTGCACTTGTTTGCAGGCATGTTAATGTGTTTTGGTATTTTACTTTTTTAACATAGAACAACAGTATTTTGACATCGAGAAAAAGTTCGCAGAGAGTCAGGCTCAGTTTGTGTCCCAGACTCAAGAACATCAGATCCTGAAAGAGGAGCACTATAAATTGGGTAAGTAGGTGTCAATCAAATGTCTATATTGTATTGTATTTAGAATTTGAATGTTATGCTTAATTGTATTTGCTCTTTTCGATTACAGAGGATGAGCTGAAATGTTTAAGAGAGAACAATAAGGAGCAAGCAGCTTCATACGCCAAACTAGAATCTAAACAGGTAAAATTTTACATGACAGTTTGCTAGAGGAGAAGATCTCAGTGTCTTCTTGAGGTGTGTGATGAGACTAGAAAGACTGTGCCTTGTTTGCAGAATGACCTTTCCAAAGCCAAAGATGAGCTCGAAGCAGAAAAAAGAGAGCTGGTCCGTACACTGGAAAGAAGATCTCAGGAGATGGAACACCAAAGCGGTATTTAAGTATTATTTAAGAAACTTTTTTTATTGTAATGTTGCACTGTAATACTGAAAGGGCAGATTTTGTTTGGACGTCTTGTTTACATACACTAAAATGTTTACACAGATTTATGTTTTGATTTTGAATCAAGTTCGGAATTTGATCAGTAATAAAGAAACACTTATGTATTGTTATTAGGTCTGAACAATATATTGTTTGAGCATCCACATCGCAATGTGTGTATCTGCAATGGTCACATCTCAGAATTAGATTGTTTATTAAAGTTACAAGATAAAGATATTAACTATCATTATTTATAAAATTATGATCATTATATTTTACATTTGATTGTTTCATTTCTGTACTTGGATACTGTTAGGCTTCCCAGAAAACCTTAAAGCACTGTTTATTTATTTGTTTTTCCTTGTAATTAATTATTATTTATGCAAATCCACTGCAAAGAATCATCTCAATCAATCTAAATAATGAAATCTTTCCAAATAGAGCTATTCATATCATCTGCTGAGACTATATTCATACAATATATGCTGCGAAACAACATATTGCAATGTCAGATCTTTCCAATATCGTGCAGCCCTACTTGTTATCAAAAACAGAATGAAATTAAATTAAATGCAATGTAAAATAACTATTACTATTTTAAAAATCCTGCGTAAGCATATTTCAAAAGAATGGCCTTTATTTATTTATTTTTTAATTATTATTATTGTTGTTTTACAGAGGACCTTAAGCGTCTTAATGATCGATTGGTGGAAGTCAGTGCAGAAAAAATGCAGCTTCAGCTCAAACTGGAGGAGTCAGAAACCTCTGAAGTTTCAATCAAGGTAAAAAAAAAAAAGTGTGTGTGTGTGTGTGTGTGTGTGTGTGTGTGTGTGTGTGTGTGTGTGTGTGTGTGTGTGTGTGTGTGTGTGTGTGTGTGTGTTACGTATATATATATATATATATATATATATATATATATATATATATATATATATATGTGTGTGTGTGTGTGTTACGTATATATATATATATATATATATGTGTGTGTGTGTGTGTGTGTGTGTATGTATGTATATATGTGTGTATATATATATATTTATATATGTATGTATATATATATATTAAGGGTGTAACTTTATGCGTATTCGTATTGAATCGTTCGGTACGCATTGCAAACCGAACGATTCAGACTAAGATCTAAAAAGATATAAGACAATACGTTCAAAAAAGCCAGCAATGCTTGCCCCGCCCTCAAGCTCTCCTTATTGACCCACTGCAGTAGAATAGAATGCAAAGAGATTTTTTAATTTCGGCTGTTAATCTCTTAGTTCCGTTGACAGGGTGCCACAGCTGCGAAAATGTATAGGGCTGGATCCGAGAGAATGAAAACAACACTGGCATATTTAGTTTTAAAAACCAGCTAGAGTTATAACTAATGGCACATCTGATTAGAGATCATGTGCTAAATGTCAATCCAGCATTTACACTTTTCGAAGAGTGGAAAAAAAGTCTTCCAGTGGTTAAAGTCAGAGTTTTCAGGTTACGGTGTTTGCCACTGAATATACACATTTTGAACACGAAATGTTCTAACATTATTTAATCTGTCATTTAATCATCACAATGCTGTCAATCATGCGACTGACACAGTGTTCACCTAGCTAAAGAGCATGCATTCACTGAGATGAAACTAATATTGCAGCCCATGAAAAGACTGTTACTGCTATTAAGATGACATATGCAAATAATAAGTTATAATATCAGCTGTGCAATATCAGACAGCCCCCGTGAGAACAGCACAGTTATTATTGGGAGTTCAGTTCATCTCACATCAAGCAGCGCATGCAGGGCTGGTGAGTGCATGCAGATTTGGGTTTATTTGTTAGTTGTGATTAGAGTGTTAATGTATAATAGAATCTGTTAACATAAAACGTGTAGTAAAGGTGCTCATAATTGTTGGTGGGTGCGATTAAATTTTGTCTGGTGCGTCTACATTTTTGAAGTTAGGAGCACCGGTGGCTACCAAGAAAAAAAAAAGATTCATTTAGAGCCCTGTGAGACCTTAATCCGCAGTGGAAGTTTTGGATTTTAAGAAAATGTTAAATGTAATAGAGCCCTGTTACATTATTCCTTCATAAGCCCATTTCATTCAGATAATTCCTGCTTTCAGATCCACTAAAATGGCAGGTGACAGTCAAATCAAGCAGATCTGTGCTGTCTGAAGGAAAAGTGGACACTCATCTTTCTGAAAATAAAAAAAAACTAAAAAATTGATTGAAACTGAGTTCCATATAAAAACTCAATTGTTCTTTTCTTTTTATTCGTTTAACTACTACAATATTATATTATTTTTTTTATAAGCAGCTTTTTTGTTTTGAGTATAAAGAAGGATTGTTTTATTTGCTGCTAAGCAGAAACCCCAGAAGTATAAAAAAAAAAAGATCAGACTTTTATGATGTTAGTTTTAATACAATAAAAAATTAAATCAGAGAAATCCTCTGGCTTTTTTCTTTTGTTTCTGTTTCAAACATACTGAACTGTGACACCACTATCGTATTGAACTGAACTGTGATTTTTGTGAACCGTTACACCCCTAAATATATATATATAATATACATATATAATTATTTATATATATATTTTTAATTTGTAATGCATTTATTTTTCATAAAATATGAATGCATTGATACAATACTTGAATCAGTACTAATGTTAACCTGTTTAAACACTAATTGTCAGAATTTTGGCATGTTGTCTTCATGATACGACTATGATTTTAATGTTTGTATTCTAGTATAAGGAAAAACGAATGGAGCAGGAGAAAGATCTACTCCAGTCTCAAGTGACCTGGCTGAACACTGAACTTAAAGCCAAAAGTGAAGAACTGCTGTCTCTGTCCCGGCAGAGAGGCAATGAGATCTTGGAGCTCCAGTGTAACCTTAATAACAAGGAGGACGAGGTACTGAGGCATGAATTTAAAATAGCTTTTTTTAATATCCCCTGCACTGCATTGGAATATTTTCTAAGTTTGTGTCTCTGCTTGGCTGACTAGATCACCCGCCTTCAAGATCAGGTGACCAGTCTGAAGGCGTCCAATGAGACCTTTCAGAAGCAAGCAGAGGAGATGATCATTAAGATGAGAGAGGTCAGACAATGCATAGTCACCACAGTTATTGGTTGTTGTTTCAGAATTCTTCATATACTTTTGGAAATGTGTTGCTCTTTTAGGCAAAAGAACAGCAAGCTGCTTTGGAAGAAAAGTTCAGTAATGAGCTCAATGCCAACATTAAGCTCTCAAATCTGTACAAGGTATGGTTAAATTGACTCAAGTTTTGAATTGTGCAATAAAAGGAAAATGTGTATTAGACTAGATTTTTTATGTTATAACCAAATGTATTTATGTTGATGATTCACAGGGAGCAGCAGCTGATGCTGAGGCCAAGAGTGAAGAGCTCAGCAGAGCCGTTGATGAGCTTCATAAGCTGCTTAAAGAGGCTGGAGAGGGTAAGTGATGAATGATCTTAAAAAAACAAAAAGCTGAAAAATATTTTAGCTTTAGGGTCTTCGCACACTGAAGTCTAAAAGTTTTATATGCATTTTTTTTTTGTATGCATATTCGAAAAAATTGTTACATTTAACAAACCTTGCACACTGAGTCTGATGCGTATTAATCAATACATTACGAAAAATGCTAAACATTTTAGAGTCAGTTTAAGCAGTGATGCTGTTTGCCTCTCTCTTCTGCAAAGTAGAAAAAGAAAGAGGAATATGCTGCATATTGCGTTTATTTAATACTAGCCTACATAGAGAGAAAGGAGGGTTCTTATCAAAGAGCTGCGTTACTACGATCATCCCGAAATGCAAAACTTATTTCAGGAAATCAGTTGGAGGTTCTATGTAGGAAATCAGTGGATTTTTGATACATTCCTTGTAATACTTCACACATTCTTGTATGTAAACAAACCCTGAAAAGAGACTGGCAGTACCTTTAGACATTACAATAGATGGCGGACGCATTGATATGCCGAAGTAACGGACTGTAATTGGACCATGCTTTATTATATTGTTTACGAGCAGTTAGTTAGACAAACTCACACCAAACAGCAGCAGGGGAGAGGTGCGCCAGTCACAGAATCCAGCACATAGCTGTCCACCACATTATGTCTTTATTTAATGCACTGTGTTTTTCAAAGTTATCTGTAGCTCAAATGACGGCATTCTGTATTTAGCCTTTTGCTTGTGCGATGGCTCTGAACTGTCAAAACACCTCTCCTAGTGCCTCTTTGGATGTGAAAAGTGAAAAAAATCCAACCTGGTTTGAATCTTTTTATGACGGACAAAAGTTTAGAAGGCAGTGTGTCAATACGAATGACACAAGATGAGGTCGAATTTATTTTTAACGTCTAAAATTATGAACGAAAATTTCACATTCAGTGTGCAATAATCTTTACTCTTTATTTTGTTTTTTTGAAGTTGTTACTTGAGTCTTTATGCATTCATATCAATTGTTGTTTTCTACTTTTCTGAACAGCACATAAAGATCTGGAAGTGAAGATGGCAGATCTGGAAAGTCATAAGAATAAGGAAATTGCTGAACTTAAAGAGAAAATAAGCAGCCAAGAAAAAGAGCTGGACAATGCCAACGACCTGTTGTCTGACAGCAGACACAGAGGTTAGCAATTTGTTGCTTTGTTTGCTTTTTACTGTTTTTTTATGTTTATTTCTGCAACTTTGACTAGTGGTTTTTGATATAAAATGTATACAAGTTTTTCATTTGCCACTCCAGGAGCTGCTTCAATTCTTACAGAAGAGCAGGTGACCATAATGTCCCCCACTGCTGCTGCAGTTGCCAAAATGATCAAACCAGGCATGAAACTCACAGAGGTGATAACCTTACTTCTGATCAGTTATACCAGTCTAAGGTTCATTTTCATAAATCATTTTTATGAGGTAAAGTAAGCTAATGCACATTTTCCAATTTTTTTTTTTGTAGATCTATACCGCATACGTTGAGACCCAAGAGCATTTACAGCGTGAAAAACTCGAGAACAAGCGACTGCACAAGTACCTGGATGACATTGTGCAGGAAATGGAAGCAAAGGCTCCTATACTGAAAAGACAGAGAGAAGAGTACGAGCGCATGCAGAAATCAGTTTCCAGTCTCTCTGCTAAATTAGAGCAAGCTGTCACGGTGAGAATTGAAAAGTTTTATTACATGTCACATTACCAGATGATTACTTTTTATATTTATAAAACCAAATCTACAATTGTGTATTTTTTGGTACTTTTCAGGAGGTACATCGCTTGCAAAAAGAATCGGATGAAAGCAACAAGCGTGCATCAGTTTTGGAAAGAGATAACCAGAGGTTTGAGGTTCAGCTGGCTGACATGGCTCAACAGGTGAGGCCTGGAGGCACAACTTTGCGATCAGTGTTTCATGCCAGAGCAAAAAAAAAAAAAAAAAGATCTAAGTTACAATAATTTTAACATTGTAATCTCAGGTGCGAGTTCTTCTCGTTGAGCTGGAGGAAGCACGTGGTAACCATGTTATGCGGGAGGATGATGATGTGGGTTCGGCAGATGTGAGCAGCACATCGGAGGTTATTTCTCAGCACCTGGTCACTTTCCGTAGCGTTGAAGAGCTGCAGCAGCAGAACCAGCGACTCCTAGTGGCGCTCAGAGACCTTAGTGAGGAAAAGGAGAAGGATGAATTGGAGGGAGACACCATGAAGTGAGTGTGTGATTTCAAGTGTTGATTGTGATATTATGTGGACCATGCATAATGCTGGTTGTGTGTTCAGACGCAGTGAAGTGGAAAAATATCTCGAGGAGCTTCAGCGAGAGTTGGAGCAGCTGAAGGAAAAGAGAACTCAAGATCTGCAGAAGGTTGACACTGTGGCACGGCAGAGGGACATGTTCCGCATGCTTCTGACTCAGACTACTGGGGTCACTTTCCCGCAGGGTAATGATTATTCATCTGAAAATATTGGTATAATTTCTGCAATCTCTATACTCTATACTCTCTATTTTGTGCAACAGTAGGAGAAATAAATGTGCATACATGTCTTTTATAATGCTATCCATTAAAATGCTAAGTTATCAAAGATTTTTTCCATGCTGCATATATTACATGCAATGTATTATTTATCGACTTCATTAAAAGTAGACTGTATTCATGACAGTATTCTGTGCTAAAGTTGTCCTACTTGGGGAAAGTTGGAGGGATCTTGAGGCCATGCAAGATTCTATAAATAACAAAAGTGTTTTATTAAGCTTTTATCTGACATAAAACATAAACTATCATTTTAATGGGAAGCTTTCACAATTAATGAAATAGTATTTGCTTGAAATGTGACAGGTGCTGGAGCTGAGGAGCTTATGCTGACCTCTACGCCCCGTCGTTCTCCAGCCGTTACACCCACCACTGGCACCCCTACAGCACTGGTTGCCACAGCCATAGAATCCACTGAGTCAGTTGAGGCCAAGGCTGCACTGAAGCAGGTAGCCATGTGGTGCCATTTTTTTTCATCGCTAACATATAGACTTGGAGCTTATTAATAATGTAACATTGTGAGTGCTAAAAGGCTTCAAATGAATCAATTGGCTTAGCAAGGCTACATTAATTTGATCAAACAGTCAATATAACAATAGTGTTATTTCAGGGTTCTTTAAATAAAGAATAAGTGGATTTTCTTCAAGATGTTATATAACTATAAGCACAAAATTAAAGGTGTCCTGTGTTTGCTCAGCTTCAGGAGGTCTTTGTGGCCTATAAGAAAGAGAAAATTGAGTCTGAAAAGGCACAAATTGAGCAAAATGAGAAACTGCAGGATCAAGTTACCGAACTTCGCTCGGAGAACATGAAGATCTCCACACAGCTAGAGTTCACGTCCAAAAGGTATCCAGTCATATTTCTTTTTGTCGTCATGATATTTTTAACTGCATTTGGCTTGATTTGTTTTTGTATGTGGTGTGCATGTCAGATATGAGATGCTCCAGGATAATGTTGAGGGCTATCGTAAGGATATTGCCTCTCTGAATGAGAAGCTTCAGAAACAGGCTGCAGCAATTCAGCAGAGTGAACAAACCACACACACCCTCACACAGGACCTACAAGCAGCAGCTGAGAAGCTCTCCATTGCTGAGGTATGTTCCTAGTTAGTTCAATCAAACACCAGTTCAGTCTGTTATTTCAATCTACATTCATTATTGTAATTTCGTCTTTTTATTTTAGTCTGAATTGGAGAACCTGCGTAAAGAGAGGGACATGTTGAAGCTAGTTGAGATCAGGCTGACCCAGGAGAAAGAGTCCTTCCAGGCCCAACAGCTTGGCCAAAATATGCTGCTGACCAACCTCAAATCAATACAGGTCATCACTGCTTTCATCAGATAACCCAGACTCTGGTACATACAAACTCTGGATGTTTTTATAACATACTGCATCTGTGAATGATTTTTGCAGACTACTCTAGAGCGCTCTGAGACGGAGACAAGACAACGGCTGACTGCTCAGATTGAAAAGCAGGAGAGAGAGATCACCCAGCTCCAGAAGAGACTTGAGAATGAGGTGGAGCAGAAGCACCTGCTGGCACGGAATCAAGATGTGAGAACTTCATCTCGCTTATCCTTTTTATTTCCCCTGATTTGAGTCTTCACATTTTTGCTTCTCTTTGTTATTTCTCTGCATCACAGGTGCAGCTGATGGACACTAAGAAGCAGCTGGAAGCACAGATTGCTCAGCACCACAAGACGAAAGAACAGCTCAGTGCTGCACAGCTTGAGTTAACCAACTTGAGATTGCAGTTGAATAGCGGGGAGAGCCGGCTGGCGTCCGCTGCAGTACATACAGGTGAGACATTTTATTTGCTTGGTTTAATTAATGCTCATAAATTTACTTAAACAAGTTTGGTTGGGTTTAGATGTTTTCTCAATTTTTTTTCTTACTACTTCAGGTCTGCAGGGCAGTGAGAGGGACATGGAGGTTCTGCGTGCCCAGATAAGGCAGACTGAGAACAGAATTGAAGAACTGACAGAGCGACTTAAAAACACTACTGCCAGTATGGAGCAATACAAGGCTATGAGTCTTAGCCTGGAGGAGTCTCTAGATAAGGAGAAGCAGGTAGTTAGACATTTTCATTTATTCATTTTTTTTTTCTTCGGCTTAGTCCTTTTATTCGGTGTATATGAATATCACATCAAATCACAGTGCTTGGCTATTAAAGGCTGGCTTAGAGTACATTTTTATACTACAATTCATTGGCACTTTTGTTTGATTTTTAGAATTTTGTTTGTTTGTTTCCCATTTCTAGGTAACTGAGCAAGTTCGTTCATCTGTAGAAAACCAAGTGGAGGCAGCTCAGGAGCAGTATAAACGGCTAGAGCAGAAACTGCTGGAAATGGACAAGGAGAAACAGAACTTGCTGGAAGAGAAAAACAAAGCTGTTGCTGCTGTAGAGCAAGAGGTAGTGAATTTACACCTTGGATCACTACATTTTACCTGTTTAAAAAAAGGCCTGTTTTTTTATTAATGGCTGTCCTGTGCAAAACGATAATCATTTTAAGGACCTCTTAAAGTGACTGTTCACTGAAAATTCTGCCATAATAGTCACATTTGACTTGTTCTAATACACTTAGAATTTTTATGTTCTGCCAAATTATGTATATTTTAAAAACTGTTGGAAGCCTGTAACCACTGAATACCATAGTAAAGAAAACAAATACTATAGAAGTCAACTGTTACAGGTTTCCAACATTTTTCAAAATATATTTTTTTTAGTTTTTAGCAACTGCTTTGTAGCAAGACATGGATAAGTGAAGGATGGCAGAATTTCATCTTTAAGTGAACTTTAAGATTACATTAGCCATGTTTCCATTCAAAGATGAGATTTAAATTCATGCACAAAACTGGATTATCACATTAAAGACTTTCAAATAAAGCAGCTTTTCAATCCAATGAGTCAAAGAGAACTAAATCATCACTTCCTGATTAACTGGCGCCAAATATCAATAGTAAAAATGGAATTTGCTTCAATAGGAGAAGCTGCTTAAATCTTTTTGTTATTTATTAAATGACTTGCACCTCAGAAGAAAAATGCCGACATGCATTAAACGTGTGGTGGCATTTGAAGGTGTGAGATGCGGAGCACAGATGCTCTTGATTCTAGAGGTGATGTTTAGAAAATAGCACTAATACTGAAATGGTTATGGTGTTTTAGAATGACCAAAACAACTTTTCAGATGTTTTACAATGTGCTCAGTCTGCTGGTTTTTCCATTCACACACATTTTTATCATCACATGATCTCTTATAACAAAAGCACATGACCTTTTTTAATGCTTTGTTTGGTAAGTGTTTCCATCGTAGTTTATGTGCATCTTTTCTTATTGAATTGAAAGTTTATTCTGCTCAGTTATGCGTATGCAAGTTTTTTTTAATGCGCATTTTCATCATATCCAAAATGTGCATAAAAATAGATGTATGGAAACCTAGTGTCACAGGGGTTACATTAATTAAAGGCTATTTATGTAATTATTATCGGTCATTATTATTTTTGTGATGTGCCTTTTGTCTTTCTTAAGAGAACAGATTTTTAAGAGGCAGAATTTGCCTTTGCTTTTTTTTTTTTTTTTTTTCCCACAGCTAACGGAGCTGAGAAAGTCTCTCAGCAGTGTGCAGGCAGAGCTCCAGAGTGCCCAGGAGAAAGCAGCTGTGGCTGCGGCACAGGAGCAGCAGGCCTTACTGGATGGTCAGGAGCAGGCTAAGATGGCAGCTGAGGCACAAGATAAATATGAGAGGGAGATGTTACTGCATGCGGCAGATGTGGAGGCACTGCAGGCTGCCAAAGCTCAGGCTCAACAGGCTTCTCTTGTCAGACAGCAGCTGGAGGAGAAAGTACAGATCACCAGCGCTCAACTGCTAGAGGCTCGTGTGTCATGGGAGGAACAAGAGAAGATTCTTAAGGTAAAGGAATTGCAACAAGATGTCTATTATAGAGTTAGAAGTGCTATTTATTTGTGTTTACACTAGTTCTTTCTTCATATCAGGAGGAGCAGTGTAAGATCCAGTCCCGCTGTGAAAATCTGCAGAGGCAGAACAAACTCCTCCATGAGCAGATCCAGACTCTGAGTGGACAGATGGCAAGTCAGCTGAAGCGAGCCACCACTGAGAGTCCACTCAACGTCTCCCTGACTGAAGAAGGAAAGTCTCAGGAGCAACTTCTTGAAATACTCAGGTTTCTCTTTAGGCCTCTTTCATATGTGATCATAATTTGCACCAAGCAACTGTCTGTCATCAGCCATTAACTAGGAAGTTGATAGCTTTTAATCAACAATAATTGAGGCTCTTTAGTCATCTTACTCTGTCAACTGCCAAACCAGCGCATCTACACTCTTATTTCCATTACCACAAAACTTATGACACACAACAGCAATGTAGCTTTGATCATGGAAGTCGTTGAATGTTAGGCCTGAATATTGTTCTTGTTGGATGGCGTGCATTACTTTTGGAAGTATAACTGCAACCAGAAAATGACCCTAGAGATATAAAACTTGCCTTTAGAGAATCACTCTGGTGCCTAATCCCTGTGTAACTTTCTCCCTTATTTAATATTTTTAAGCTTTTAAATAGAGGTGTGAACCTATACTGGTCTCACGGTTCGGTTCGGTTACGATTATCATGCCTTCGGTTCAATTCGATATCTCGGTGCATCACGGTGCATTGACGATGCTTTCTATATACAGTGTTATATTTTAGGGGGGAGGCTATAACAAGCTGTCTGTATAAACACACAGCACCACACTGTCTCTTATTCAAACACATACACAAACATAGACAGCACCAAACAAATAAACACACACACGCAAACACACACACTTGAATCCTCGCAACAGAGAGAACTCGCGCTGAGCGGAGCAGAAAAACTTAAAAAAGAAGCACTTTTCCGACGGTCCCTTACTGAGAGCTCCTCTCAGCGTGAGCTATCCCGGCTAAACACATATTGCGAGGGCTTAAACAGAGCAGTGCTCGTAATGTCGAGCGAAAAAAAAAAAAAAAAGAAAGACAGCTGTGAAACATAACCAGCCTTGTCTTTTTGTAGGAAACACACTTTAGATCTTTTTAGGGTAAGAGTTTTTTGAGTTATTGCCGTCTATAACTGAATGTGTTTCAGGAAAATCTAAAACAAAACCAACTGAACCACGCTAATTTCTGGCGCCCCTCTGGATATACAGCGCCCTTAGCATTTCCCTATGGTGCCTATGCCACGGGCCGGCCCTGAGTTGGCTGAGTGTTGTAAATACTCGCACTCACCTCCCTCGCGACAGAGCGCATAAGAGATAAATGATGTCAGTACATAATAACCGGTTATGATCTTTACTGAACTGATACCGAATTGTCTGCGTCTGCATCGCGGTGCACCGATGAAACAATTAATTTTGACACCCCTACTTTTAAATAATACCACATATGATTTAATGTGGAATCAAAAAGTGTATATAATATACATTTGTTTCTGGTAATTACACCAATTATTTTTAGCATGGCCGTTGGGCTGATTGTGCAGAGAAAATGCTGAAAAATAGAATGAAGCAGAGTAGAAATATGGGAAATCAATTTTCCACATTCATGAAAGTCTTTTATTCCACAATTGGTTTTCAGATTTGTGCGCAGAGAGAAGGAGATCGCAGAGTCTCGGTTCGAGGTTGTCCAGGGGGAGAGTCTGAGGCACAGGCTCAGAGTGGAGCATCTGGAGAGAGAGCTGAAGGATATGCAAGAGAGTCTAAATGCAGAGAGAGAGAGGATGCAGGTTGGCATGGAAAGCCCCGATGCATTCTCTAATCACAACCATGTATTCCTTTTGCTTGTGGCTGTTACTCCATCTGTTTGATTGTTGTCTTAAGGTGACTGCAAAGACTCTAGCCCAGCACGATGAGCTGATGAAGAAAACTGAGACCATGAATGTCCTGATGGAGACCAATAAGATGCTGAGAGAGGAGAAGGAAAAACTGGAGAAGGAGTTGCAGGATACTCAAGCCAAGGCAAGACACTTTTATTAAAATGTATAACACACAAATTAAATAAAACATAGATTAAAAACATGGACATCAAGATCCACTTGCTTAAAGTGATCCACCCAAAAATGAAAACTCTCTCCTGTTTTAATCCTTATTGAGTTTTTTTTTTATTCTGTTGAACACTAAAAAGGATGATTTGAGATTTGTTGGAAACCTGTAACCATTGATTTCCAACAAATTATGAGTAGTCGTGAGTAAATAAATGACAGAATTTTCATTTTGGGGTGAACTATCTATTTAAAAATGAATGGCAAAAGTTAGAACTACTGTTTTTGTTCACAGATACGTAAACTAGAGTCCGACATCATGCCGGTGCAGGAGTCCAATTCAGAGCTGAGTGAGAAGAGTGGCATGCTTCAGGCAGAGAAGAAACTTCTGGAAGAAGACATCAAACGCTGGAAAGCTCGCACTCAGGTCAGAAGCTTTCATGTATCTTCAAGTGATTTCTGCAGAAAATATTTTTCATAGACATTAACTGTCTTGATTATGCATTCTCATGGTGTTTAGCACCTGGTGAGCCAGCAAAAAGACACTGACCCGGAAGAGTACAAGCGTCTGCACTCTGAGCGGGAAGCACATCTTAAACGCATCCAGCAACTTGTTGAAGAAACCGGCCGACTAAAAGCTGATGCTGCCAGGTTAAAACAGCTCTCTTCACAGGATTCACCAAAGCCTTGTTTTTCGTTTTTGTGTATTGATAAATGACTTGTTCTCTACAGGAGCAGTGGCTCTTTGACTACTCTGCAGTCTCAAGTGCAGAACCTAAGGGAGAACCTCGGAAAGGTGATGGTGGAGAGGGACAACCTGAAGAAAGACCAGGAGGCCAAAATACTGGACATCCAGGAGAAAATAAAAACCATCACACAAGTTAAAAAAATTGGTCGTCGGTATAAAACACAATATGAGGAGCTCAAGGTTGAATATGAAAAGGTGTGAAGTCAAGGCTTATGATTAGGAGCATGCAAGTATGTGTTTGGTGTGGAAGTCTGTGTTAATTGTGGTCTTTGTGTAGTTGGTAGCAGCGGCGGCATCTGCACCAGCCCAGGATCAGGAGGCACAGCAGGCATCAGCTCAAGAACTTCAGAATCTTAAAGAGTCCCTCAATCAATCAGAGACCAGGATAAGAGAACTGGAAGGCCAACTAGAGAATCTCAATAGAGTAAGTGCAATGTGTAGGTTAAAGGGTCTTCTTTATTTTTTCCTTAGGGTGCTTTTACACCGGTTGATCGATTGTTTTGTTTCTGAGACAAGTGTTTATTTATGTTCTTGGTGCGATTCACTTTCACACGTCAAAGTTTCTAAACGGACCAAAATAGTTCAAACAATTCACATGTGGGTAAAGTCTCCTCATATTGGTCCGAGTTTCCCGGTAAATTTTTTAGAGGACTCTGCTCAGCTGTCATACATGGTTTTTTTTTTTTAAATTGGTGTTTGTTAGATTAACAGCACAACAGTAGCGTCAGCTGCAGAAGATTGATTTTATAGCACCAGATTAAACTTTCTGACTCTTTTATAGCAATGGAATAAATACAGGCCACAACTGAACATTGTGAATTATCTCTAAGGGCCAGTTTCAGAAATCAAACCAAGAATAGACTTGTGCTGAAAACATTGTGCCCACAAGTTGCATTAGGTAAGGTTAATATTAAACTAAATTAATAAATGACTATAAAAATGATATGGTTGTTAGACTGTTGCACTTTCTTGTGTTGTCCATATGCTCATTTATATAGACCTATTTTTGTGTGCACAACGTTTGTATATTTATAACCACTTCCAAGAAATTTGGGGGTAGCGAGTCACTGGCATTGTTATTTTGGGGGTTGCGGGCTGAAAAGTTTAGGAACCTCTGTGTTAGATAGCTGGACTGGAATTGAGAGTGCTGTGAACTATTCTTTGTGTACAGAGTAACTGAAACTTAAAAGAAAATGCTCAGTAATGTTGCATAGTGTATTTATTTTTATTTATTTTATAACTTCCTTGGTAATAGCTCTGTAATGAACACTCTAGACTCAAACATTTGACCTGAAGAGATCTTATTTGTGGGTTTTTTTAATACCATTAATTGTTTAAAAACAATTGTGCCAGTGTTCGATCCAAATCAGTTCTTAAAAAAAAATAATATTATTGATGATAGACCTGCTTTCTGCTTACTGACTGGTTTGCTGTTTATCAATCAAGTAAAATATAGCTTGGCATCCCTGTTTTTCTTGTGTGTCTTTGCACATCCTCCCTTACAAACTGAACCTTTTGAGATGAGACTAAAGTTATCGGGTGTCTTTCTCATAATGTGTCATTTCTGTTGTCCTCTGCAGACTGTAGGAGAGCGAGAAATGGAGGCCCGCAGTGCGCAGGAACAAGCCTCTCGTTTGCAGACAGAGTTAACGCGTCTCAGACAAGAGCTTCAGGAGAAATCATCTCAGGAGGAGCGTCTCAAACAGCAGCTGACTGAAAAGGAGGAGAGGACCAAGAAGGCCATATTATTGGCCAAGCAGAAGATCAGTCAACTTACTGGTGAGAACTGACTCTTTTTGAGAATAGTATGTGCTTTTAGTCTTTTTCTTTTCTTTATTATTTTTCTACATCCAGGTATAAAAGGACAGTTTCAGAAGGAGAACGAGGAGCTGAAGCAACAAAAAGAGGAGTTGGAAGTGCGTGTGAGTGCGCTGAAGTCTCAGTATGAGGGGCGTCTGAGCAGACAGGAAAGGGAGCTACGAGACCTTCGCGAACAGCAGGAGAGACATGGAGAACAGAGGGATGAACCACAAGAGCAGGGCTCCAGCAAGGTAATGCCACACAATCCTATAAATGCAAGCCTATTCGTAGTTTTCAGTCAGGTGATCTGGAGTGTAAAACGTCTATACAACTGTGATAAACACCTTACCATTAGTTTCAAGCCACAAATATTTGGATCAGCCCTCATAAGAAAAAAAAAATGGGGCCAGTAAAATCTTTTAGATGCTTCTGATCCTTATACACTACTTTCCGTCACTAAATATTAAGCTTAATCTGGTAAGAAATTAATATTAATGCACATAAATGTGGATGTATATGTATATATAATATAATTTTATAGGGTATTTCTCTTTGACTTCAAGCTATTAACCATCTTTAGATACCTAATGTTCTTTTACTTTCAAATGCTTCAAAATGCTGTTTTTTTCCATGTTTAAAGACCCAGGAACCACAAAGGACAACAGAACAGCGACAGATTTCTCTGAAGACAACCCCAGCGGCAGAAAGAGGAAGGTATGGAATGTTAACATACTGTAGATGTTGCTCATTCACCTGCATGTTTAACTTAGGGTGCTTTCACACCTACACTTTTGTTTCGGAACGTATCTCGTTTGCCCAGTTAGCGCGGTTCGATTGGCATATGTGAACAGGGCAATCGCGCTCTGTTCCGCGCCAAAGTAATCGCTCCGAGATCGCTTGAGTGAGGTGGTCTCGGCTCGATTGAAACGAACCCTGGAGCGGTTCGATTGCAGTGAGAAAGCGATCCGATCCGAGCGCGCTTATATCACAGTGTTTTATGGATATGTAATAGGCTTACGGCTATATGAAGAGAGAATTATGAGTAGGGCGGGAAGTTTCGCGAGTCTCCGGATGCCCGCAAACGAGTGATGATCTCCCGGTAATCTCGCGTCTCTCTCCCAGTCCTCAAATAGGCATCGTCGCGCACCCTTCTCACCCCTCCCCACCGCATCTCTCCTCAGACACGTCACACGCGCGCACCCTGTCAATCACCACCAAACCACCACCTCTCCTGACAGCTGAGCGGGACGCTACAAAATAAACCCTGACACTCTGACCAATGTGAGGAGAGTTTACTCGCACGTGACTTGTTTTAGCTCTTTTGGTCCGATTAGAAACTTTGCAATGTGAAAGCGAACCGCTCCAAGAGCAAAGAGCAACAATGTAACAATTTTAATCTCTGTTTCGGAACAACTGAATCGATTCACAGGTGTGAAAGCACCCTTAGTTATAGTGCTCAGCATAATTGTGTACACCTCATTTTGAAAATTAATATTTGTATCCATTTCTAAGTGCATATGGGATATATATATTGGTGCATTTGAAAACAGTTTTATTAAACAGATATATTTATTAAAATAATATTTTAGTCACAAAACCTCTTTAGAAATAGAAAGATGATACATTTAAATTCATGCAAAGTATTGCATGCAAACTACAACATTTAAACTAAATTGTAGATATTTTTTTGTTTATCTTGATTTTTGCAATTTATGAAGATTTTATTTAATATTTTTCTATAGCATACATTTTGGCTACTAATGTTTGAACCATTATTGTTTGTTTTTATGTTAGATTAGCTCCAGATTTGGCTTCAGTACTGACTAAACTAATGTATATGCGCACATATAATATTGTACAGCATCCTATAGAAAAAAATAATTTAAATGAGAGATTTATGGGGGGTGTACTCATATATGCTAAGCACTGTATTTTAAAAAATCAAGCTTCTCCACATTGTTGCTTTTTTTTTTTTTTTTAGTGCTAGCACTTCTGAGCCCCCAACAGCCAACATAAAGCCCACACCTCTGGCAGCAACCCCCAGCAAGCCTCAAGTCATTCCTGGAAACAAATCCACTCCAAGAGCCAGCATCAAACCCATGATCACTCCTGCCCCGGTGCCCACTCCTACACCCACTGCCACAGTCATGCCCACCACACAGGTGGAAAGCCAAGAGCGTAAGTGAGGTTTTTTTGTTGTACTCATTTATTTGATGGTTTGGACCAGGGTTGTTGTTTTTAACTAAACCATAAAATATACTAAATAAAAAAACATTTAAATAATTAAATATATATATTTTTAATAAACTGGGAAAAAAAGGTTTTGTTGACAACTACTTTTCTATTTTGTTCTGTATAAAATAGCTAAAACTGAAAATATAAAACATGATTAATGATAGTTTGTAAGTAAAGTAATCCAACTGATTAAATTAAGAACCAAAAATGGCAAACAATTCATAAATTTATTTCAAGTTTTTCATTTTTTGTGTGCTTACAAAAAAAAAAATTAAAACCCTTCAAGTTATCTTTTAACTTTAAATTTTTTTTCCTAAACTTGCAGCCATGCAGTCCTCAGAGTCCCCATTGGAGCATGTGACTGTGTATGGCAGTGCCAGTGGTTCAGTAAGGTCCACGAGCCCTAATGTTCAGACCACCCTGGCTCAGCCTCTGCTGAACGTTCAACAGCAGAACCAAGCTACTGCATTCATCCAGCCCACCCAACAACAAACCCAACCCCCTGCTGAACCCTCCAATCAGGAGCCCCCAGCTGCTCTAATGCTGCCAACCTCACAGTTAGATAGGCCTCTTTCTACATCCACAGGGCTCTGGAGCGCCACCCCTAGCACAAGCAGTGCCAGTGCAGGTAATGCTGACTTGCAAACAGTTACATTAGCTGAACACTTATCATGCATGTCAGTTTATGGGTGGTCTCTTACGTCTCTTTCCTGTAGTTTCTGCATCTCCTGGTAGTGCCTTAAGCAAGCGCCCCCGTGAAGAGGAACAAGAGAGCATGTCTGCTGACACACAGTCCCAAGATGAGCCCAATGACTCTCCCACTTGCAAAAGGCTCCGAATCCATAGAGTGGGGTTGGAGGTGAGTCTCATTACTAAAGCTTGTTCTGTTCTAGTCTTTTTGGTGTCATTTGCTTAATTTTACATAAAGATTAAAAGTCTGTGCAATTTAAAATAACAAATTTCACATTGTAGGAAGAGATGTTGGCTGAGGACAGCACTGAGGCTGAAAGCGTTGTACCGGGTGAGATCCAGGAGGCTCCTGATGCTGGACAGGTATTTTCAGAATGATGTGTGCTTATGATCTTCCTGTTTGTATTACAGCTGTGCTCATCTTTCAGTTCAAAAATGCTGATTTATACAGGACTTGGTAGAGTAAAAAATCTTTTAGCGAGCCATTAAAGCGTTCTTTCAGATGATTAGTTAGAGAATGCTGATTCATTCAGCAATTAAGCAATTGAAGAATATATGAGTGAATCATTTAATTAATCTATAAGTCATTATTGAATGGTTTTTATAAATATAAATGAATGTTTAATCATTATACAGAAGTAAAACGTGAACTTTATACAGAGATGGATAGAGTAAGCTCTTTATTAGTGAGCCATTAAGTCAAATCATTCAGAGGATTATTTTAAAATGCTGATTCATCCAGTAATTAAGCATGGGAAGTATTTATACGAGTAAATTATCTCTTTGAAAAAGTCATTAAATCATTCAACTAGAAAATAAAACAAAGTCATGATGAATGTGTTTTAAATATGAATAGATTTTTTTATCATTATACACTAATGAAACAAGTGAATTTTTTAAAGCGGGTCAATGAATCAGTAAAATATGCTGATTCATACAGAAATGGAGAGAGTAAACTCATTATTAGCAAGCCGTTCATTCATTCATTCATTCATTCATTCAGATGAATCGTTCCAAAATGCTGGTTTGTCCAATAACTAATCATATAGGTATGCTGTATATGAGTGAATTATCTCTTTGAGTGAGTCATTGAATCTTTCAACAAATCTGTAATTCATCTAGAAAATAAAAATTTTTATGAATTGATTCTTGAATCATTCATTCATACAATTATTTTTAAAATGCTGGTTCATCCAGTAATAAAAGATGGGAAGTAAAGTCAGGTCCATAAACATTGGAACATAGACACAATTCCAATTTTTTTGGCTCTAAACACCAACTCTGTGGATTTCAATTGAAAAAAAAAAAACTAGATGTGGTTCATCTGCAGACTGTCAGCTTTAATTTGAGGACATATACATCCAAGTCAGGTGAACGGTGTAGGAATTACAACAGTTTGCATATGTGCAATTGGCTTCTCAGCTGTTCCATTGCCAGGTGTGTGTTATTCTCTCATTATCCAAATTAAAATGAGCAGAAAAAATGTCTAAGGTTCATTTCAAGTGTGCTGTTTGCATGTGGAATCCGTTGCTGTCAACTCTCGAGTTCCAAAGAGCTGTTAAGCAAGCAAGCCATCATTAGGCTGAAAAGAAAAAACAAACCCATCAGAGAGATGGCAAAAACATTAAGCGTAGTCAAAACAATTGTTTGGAACATTCTTAAAAAGAAAGCAAGCACCAGTGAGCTCAGCAACACCAAAAGACCCGGAAGCCCTCGGAAATAACTGTGGTGAAAGACCAAAGAATTCTTTCCCTGATGAAGAAAACCCTTCACAACAATTGGACAGATCAAGAGCACTCTCCCGGAGGTAGGTGTGTCAGAGTCGACCATCAAGAGACAACTTCTGTCCCATTTCTTTTGGTCCCTTAACAAGTGGGAGGCACATATGCAAACTGTTGTAATTCCGACACAGTTCGTCTGATTTGGATGTAAATACCCTCGAATAAAAGCAGACAGTCTGCAGTTAAAGATGTTGTGTGTTTCATTTCAAGTCCATCATGTTGGTGTATAGAGCCAAAACTTTTTTGTGAATTGTGCAGATGTCCCAATATTTATGGACCTAGCTGTATATATGAGTGAATCATCTCTATATGAGCAAGTTTTAGAAGCATTTATTATCATTAAGATTAATTTACTACTTAAGTGAAGTCTTTAATCAAGAGGTAGTTCAAAAAAGCTGAATCATCCAGTAATGAAATGAGTATTGACAAGTGAGTCGTTGAATCAATTAATAAAAAGCTTTTTAGTTATTTATTCTGAATTGTGGGAAACTCACAGTCTCAAATGGAAGCAAAAAAAAAAAGTGCTTTAATCCAAGATCAGTTCCGGTGAACAGGTCAGAAGTGTGTAACTGACTTAAATGTTTTTTTTCTTCTCATGTCTGTTTGAAGGAGCTGGAGAACTACTCTACTCTGGAAGAAATGGATGAGGAACCAGGACCATCTCAGTCTGTCCCTGGAGATCGAATGCTGCCCCATCCATCTGAGACCCATCGAAGCCCAGAGGAGCCCGATCACCACGTCATAGTCATTGTTAGTGACACCGAGAGCGAAGGAGAACAGGAAGAGGAGTCTGAGGAGGAGGAGGAGGAAGAGGAAGAAGAGCAGGTGTGTCCTCGCACTGCAGGTCAAATTCAGTGATATTCAATCCTGTTATATAAACCACTTATCCCTGCTTTAGGATTATGAGGAGGAGGATGAGGAAGAGGAGGAAGAAGATGATGATGATGATGAAGAGGATGGAGGGATTGGGGAAGAGGGAGATGAAAGCAATGAGGAGAGTAGAGACGACAATGAGGCCTACGAAGGAGATGACACAGAGGTAAAGATCTGCACTAGTCAGAATTTAGAAGTGGAGGTTTAAAATTATAAAACTGAGGTCTCGTTTACACTAATACATTTTAGTTTAAAAATAAATAAGTTTTGCTACGGTTACGCCTTTCGTCCAAACTACCCTGGAGTTTTTGAGCCCTGGAAACAGTGTTTTGGAAATGCTGAAGATGTTGTTTTGGTTTTAAAATGCTGCTGCTCTGTGACTGTGTGGATTAGGGATGGGTACCGGAACTCGGTACTTTATCGGTATCAATGCTAAATTATAAAAGACCAAAGTATCGACAAGCTCTGACGTTGAGAGAATTATTACTAAATGAACTTTACTTACAGTTGCATAATTTAACTGACAAACCTTTTCTAATTTGCCATATTCATCTGCACAGTTCGCAATCTCACATGGGAAATGCTCATGTTTCCTGAGAGTGCGTCAAGTATAAAAGCCTTCACTGTTCTCGACTGTGAGCACGCACTCAGCTGAGACTCACGCTAAGCGCACACACATAGCTTGCGACACAAATTTGTGCACACACAGCTTGTAAGCATTCGGAGTGAACCAAACGGGTTGTATTTCCTGAGTGGTAAGCGACTATGTTCATTGCAACAAACGGATCAAGTTGTTTTCTTGTATAAGCGGAAAGGCAAGCAACCTGGCTAATTGAAAGTATCTTTCAAAAGTGCATTAACTGCAGAAAGACAAATAAGGTTTTTTGACTGCCTAGCTACTAACGGTAAAGTTAAATCATCCACATCGTTACGCTTGCAGTCAATCTCCTAAATTTGTAAAATATTAAAAGTTAATGAAAACAATATTTTTATTTTCTATATTTTATTTTCTATATAGCAGCCTAAATAATTCTTATACATTAAAATTCTTTTATATCAGCTGTATTTACAAATATAGCTTATGAATAGCCTAATAAAAAAATTATGCTTAATTAAGAAAGCTTATTTTTACATTACAAGATGCTCAAACTGTATTAAAAACACCAGTTAACGTCCAAACCATTGTTAACTCATTTATGTGAATGTTATAAAGAAAAATTATAAACATTATCTCATTTAATTGCATTTTGCAACTTAAAGAGAGCATTTTTAACTGCAGGGAGCACAATAAACCAAGAAATATCCTGCCTTCTGCCAAACATAAAAAAAAAAGAAAGAAACGCTTCAAAAAGTACCAATAAGAGAACCATTAAAATACAGATAACGATACCTGTTCCTAGTGTGGAGGGGGGGAAAACAGACACATCTGAAAATGAAGGTGTAGCTGCAAACATTCGCCCCATCTGATTGGGGCCTTTTCTCATCATTAAGTACATAAGTTGCATCTGTTCCTTGTAAGTTTAGACTACGCAAGTTTATAACAAACTTCCAAGCATGTGAGGACACATTTTTTAAACCTTCAAATGGAAAGATAGTGTACATTGTAAAGACATTTACTCTGGCTACGTTTCACTAAATTAGCAATAAAATAAAAACATGACAAAGCAGTCTTTTTTAAATTTTTATATTAACAACTTAAACGTAACAAACAGCAAAAATGTTAAGGCATCATGTACATATTTATATGTACATATTTATATTTTTACTGTTTGCAAATTTATAACAAAACGGAGCCGAATAACTGCCTCCTTTAATTTATTGAAAAATATGAAATCTTTGGCTCACTGTGTGGTTTTAGCAGTATGTGCTTTAATGTCAGGATATATGCGCACAAAGATTTTCAATGCAGGGTTCATACGGTCCTGGAAAAGTCATGAAATTTCGAAAAGGCATTTTCCAGGCCTGGAAAAGTTTTGGATAAACAAACAATCCCAAAATGTTTTGGAAAAGTCATGAAAATGTGTTTAACATTTATCTATGTGAGATAGACTTGACTTCTACTTAAAACTGTATTTGATGGGTAAGCTTCAAAAAATAAAATGGGTAAAAAAAAGCAATGACTTCAAAAATCGAAAGCAATCTTAGCTTCGCCTCTCTTACAATGGCTTTTACCGTAATTCAAAATGAATTTTAAGTGTCGTGTCTAAAAACAATATCTTAACTGCAGGGGTAAGATGTTGTGGATGCTAAATCTTAAGTCTTGTGAAAACAGATGCCAAAATTATAAAATTTTCAAGATACTTTCTGAAAACTATTTTACAAATATGAAAATAAATATAAACTAGTCAAGTCAAAGTATATTTATAAAGCACTTTTTAAAAACAAGTGCTTACCAAAGTGCTGTACACATATACACAATCTAAAACATAGGACAAATACAACAGACATATGACTGTCATATGGTATGAAAAGCCAAAGAGTAAAAGGTTCAAAAGACTTTAATTTGGATAATTGCCTCAACTGGAAAAAAACTAGCTTTGATTACCAAATTAATCTGTTTATCCAGTTTGAAGTCACTATCCGTAATAACACCCAGGTTTTTTACATTAGGTTTCACAAAATATGATATATGACCGAAACCATTCCAAGGCAATACCCTTAATACCAATACAGTGTTCTAAATAAAAAAATTATATCTTATGGTCTTCTGTAGTAAAAGCAGCTGTAAGATCTAAGAGCAAAAGAACAGTGCGATGTCCTGTGTGAGTGGTCGAATCGAGATCGCAATCTTTTTTAGATTAATTGTGCAGCTCTAGTGTGTGGTTAGATTAATACGTATATTAATCTTTTCACCAGCCAAAACACATTACTTGAGAAGTAGACCAATAAATTCAAAAGACAGAGTCGTTAGATATCGGTCTACACAATTTAAATTATAGATCATGTTTAACAACTAGAGAGAAGAGATCCATCGGCAGATTTGGGATGGACTGGCTGATCTTTGGTTGCTCTCAGCCAGGCAGGTGTGCTCCACTTCTGCTGACTGCCTAGAGCTCAGAGGTTTGAGGGCATGTATGGTCATGTGATGTGCGTTTTCAGCGGTATAGTGTGGTCTGAGAGCTTTTCTGCAACGCTAGATGAAACGCCATTGTGGATGTGGATCATTTTTTTTGTTGTTGTTTTTTCTAAAAAAGCTAAAACCTGTTTGTAAACGGGACCTGAAAGTAACTGCTGTAAGGCTAGTTTTTTTCTATTTTTATGTGTGATGCATACAAATGTATGAAATTCTTACAGTTTTACAGTTTCTTACAGTTTTATAAACGGTAATTGTATTATTATTATTAAGTTTTCAGTTTAAACCATTTGCTTTGCACGTATTGAAAAACCCAGAAATGTTACTAGGGGTTATTCCCACTTCAAATTTAAATGGGCTAACTGTGAATTCATTGTGGAATTTAGACTGGAATTTAGTTTTCCCAGTACATATACAAGCACACACACACACACTCATTGTTTTAGTGCCAAATAAACGCCTACATTTGGACTAAACATCAGAGACGTCTTTGTAAACAGTCATGTTGATTTAATGAGCTAACTGCAGTTTGCCATTATGCAATGTTTTTGTGAATCGCTGACAAAATAGCCTCAGTTTGACTGCGCAACATTTCCACATCTCTGATAATAACACACTCATTCAAAAGCGTATGACTTGGACTAACATTCTCAGCTTGAGAAAATGAACCACATATGCACTTTCCTCTAATTCTACTTTTCCCCTCCTTTCTACTACCTTTAATTTTTCCCAGGGCCCTGATCCCACTGATCCGGGCACTGAGACAGAAGAAAGTCTTGGAGCGACAGACTCCACTCAGCGCATGGCAGATTCCCAGAGCTGTAAGTGACCATGTCCTAAATAAACATGTCTGCCAGAACGTTGTTTAGCATCTTGTTGGTACTGTATCTTTTCCATTCAGATACCATCAATGATTTTGAAGCTTTCAGAATCTAAATGTCTTATTTCTTTTCCCATCCGTCTCAGTTGAATCGAACACATTGGAAATGTTTGAAGTCCCCGTCACCAGCTCCGCCCCTCGACCTCCACAATCCCCCAGAAGGCCTCAGCATCCTCTGCCACCTCGGCTAAACATTTTGGCTGCTCCTGCTCAGGAACTCGGGCCTCCTGCTCAAGTACAGGTATGTGCAAGGGTCTCACAGATACTGTTAACTTTTTTTCATAGCTTGAATTGTTCTCAGGCAGTGCCTGGAGTGTGCATTAAAAAAACTGCATGTGTCTGCAGCGTCTTCCAGCTCGCCGGCAGTCAGTGGGACGAGGCCTTCAGCTTGCTTCTGGAATGGCCAGTAGTGCAGTGAGTGGCTTTTTCGATGCTTAGTTTGCTTGTCTTTGTGTGTTTCTATTGCTATTGACTTATCTTTTTTCCCTTTCTTTTCCCCAACAGCAGCCTTTCTTTGAGGATGATGACAGGATGGTTCCCAGCACTCCTACACTTCCTCTTCGCTCTGATGGATTTGCAGAAGCCATACAGTATGTGTAATGTTCATGACATATTGCAAACTGCGTAGGCCCCCTCACTGCTTAATATTAATAATAGCGCATACGAGAGCCATATCATATTGCCTACTATGGTCTGTTTTAGGGGTTCCCAAACTTTTTAGCTTGTGACCCGCAAAAAATCAATTCCAGTAACTCTCGATCCCCACTATCCTCAAAGGTGGTTATTAAGCATACAAATATTAAACAACAGAACACACATCAGTAGGAAGTCTATAAATGAGCTTATTGGCGACACAAAAATAATCGAAGCTATTTTTTTAATTTTCATTTTTATATCGAAGCAACTTAAATCCAAGTCAATCATATCTTAGTGATTAATAAAACTGTCAATGAAACATATGTGGCACAATTGTTAAATCATTTGCTGTAATAATATGCTGTACTAAACAGAAACAAAGTTTATAGTTACACATTTGAAATACTATAGTAATTTATCAAGGGAAATATTTAGGAATAAGTGTTATATTGTATATTTACACATCTTTGTTAATGAATTACACTACATTATGTAGTATCATTGGTAACGATCATGATCTAATCGTAATTACCATAGTATACTTCTGCCTTTAATACAGTAAACTATATTTATAGACCTCCTCTCCCTCAGTCATCTTTCCTTCAAGCAAATTTCTTGTGTTAGCCTAATTGGTTGGCGACATCACTGACCAGAGCGCGATGTGGCAGTAATGCACCAAAATCGACCACCCAAAAACAAGAAGAAATCGTCAGTCTCACCATCAAATGGGTTTTTCTTTAATTGGCTAGACACCGGACTCGCAGCTCCTTAAATGTCGGTGCCGTCACATAATGATACGCAATTGGTAAATGTAGCTTGTGTGTACGCTACTGTGCTACTTGACACACACACAAAAATAGCCTTGCTACTGAAAAGTTATTTCATTTAGAAACACACTAATTGAAGCCTGGTTTATACTTCTGTTACAAGTGATCCGCGTGACCCATGGTACATGTAACACGTGTAGCTGTGCATTTATACTTATGCGCGCTGTTTCTGTTGCTCTGCAATAACACTTCCAAAACGCTAGCTAGCAGCAGGTGTTTATGTTCCTCTGTGTTGAGTTTCTTCACCTTTGTTTTTTATAAATGCTTCCTTAATGTACAAGTGGTCCAAACTCGCTCATTTTGAGGCAGGAACCGGTTGAACGTGCAACAACTTTAACCATAAGGTAAACACAAAGCAACAGTTTCCATCCAGAGTTCCTTGTAAACAGTCAACACTTGTAAACAGTTGCTCCAACGGACTTAAGGGCTTCCAAGCAGACCAATCACAGAGCTTGCGCTATGCGTTATTACGTCGTATAGTTACAGTTTTTTGTGAGGTGCACGTCAGCCACGCCGATGGCGAGGGCTATGCATACACTGCGCCGTAGCATACGCATGCGCTTGACACAGAAGTATAAATCAGCCTTAAGAAATGTAGTTAAGCTAGTAGCGTCAATACTTGTAGATATGCTACTGCCCAACTCTGTAATATTTTATAGTCATTATTTCTTTAATTTAATATTAACCTCATTCAATGAATATGCTGTTCTCACTGTTTACAGCTAAAGACTATGTTTGGTTTAATTTCGGAGACCGCCACTTTAAGATCATCTTCTTTCCGTCGTGGTCTTTATTTTCAATGTATTTTAGTGCCGTAAAGATGTCAAAGTTTAACATTGTGCCGTAAAATCAATCTGATGCAACTAACACTATTGCTGTGTCAATAATCTAGGGTAATAACCCCAGGGCTCGCAACCCAATGGTGAAAAACTTGAAAGGCTGATGACTTTTAATTTGCATGTTGTTTATGTATTATTTTTATCTTCTGCAGGTTATGGGTAAAACATGGTAATTCTAATAGTTTGAGAACATGTATGGTAATATTGGAAATCACCAATCTACAAACTGTATATCAGTGTCAATTGTCATGACCAGCTACTACTCATCATGTCATGTTTGCTGTTGTGTTTTGTTATTATTACTTAATCATATTACCACAAAACTGATTTGTTGTTGTCGAATGAAGTTCTCCACAGGTGGCAGGTGTACCACGCTTTCGATTCGGGCTTTTAGATGAGCTCCCGCAGACCAGCTCCTCTCACTCAGACCTCAGTCAGCTGCCCTCACAAGGTCAAACACAATCATTTTAAATTTAGAGATTATCAATTATAATGTCAAACATTAGTTTGTTCAGTTTTTTAAAGGTGTCTTTTGTGCTGTGCAGGTTTAGGCATGTATGAGAGCTCTGTTTTTTTGGGATCTCATGAGGATGAGTCAGGGGGACGCAGTGTACCCACAACCCCTCTGCAGATCAGCGCTCCTGGTAAATAACGCATGTTTTCTTATTTAGTTTTTTTTAGTCAGACTTTCTTGTTGTTCATCATTTAGGCAGAGTTGTAAAATTCTGTTATGATCTATTATAACCTGTTTATTTATTTAATTATTTTATGATAATTAGATATTTTAATAGCTTCTCTTTTCATTTACATTTATATATAATATTGAACATGCAGGATGAGCATAGACTATATTTTACATCCATCTATTTAGAACTGATAAATAAAGTCTGTGCATCATTGTGTGTGTGCGTGCGCATATCAGTACACAAGTAGTGGTAATAATTTCAAACATTTCAAATTTGTTCAGACCAGAGGTTTTTATTATAGGGGGGTAATTCCCGTTTATAAATGAGTATATAAAACTTTCTGGTGCATAGTGGTGTAACGGATCACAAATCTCACTGTTCGGATCACATTCTGTTTTTTTAAGTCAAGGATCGTACCATTTTTCGGATCAGCCAAAAAGGGGAGAAGAAGAATGTAATTTGCTTTTTATTTGTTACAAAAACATATAAGAAATATTACAAATAAAATGAAGAAATAATCAGCTGAATAAAAATAAATTGTAAAATATTTATTACTGTGAAAAATTCACTGTTACTACTACTGTTGCTGATAACGCTAAATGTAGAAATCTAGCGCCATTTATTTATTTTCTTTTCAGCTTAGTCCCTTTATTAATCTGGGGTCGCCACAGCGGACTGAACCGCCAACTTTTCCAGCGGATGCCCTTCCAGCTGCAACCCATCACTGGGAAACATCCATACACACTCATTTACGCATATAACCTACGGGCAATTTAGCTTACCCAATTCACCTATAGCAGCGCATGTCTTTAAACTTGTGGGGTAAACCGGAGCACCCAGAGGAAACTCACACAAACACGAGGAGAACATGCAAACTCCAAACTGAAACGGCTACTGACCCAGCCGAGGCTCAAACCGGCAACCTTCTTGCTGTGAGGCGATAGTGCTAACCACTGTGCCACTGTGTCGCCCAATCTAATGTCATTAGTATGATTCATGTGTATTCTTAGTCTAATTTTCATTAAATGATTCTGTTTTTTACTCCTAAAACTTTCATCTTTCATTGCTAGATGATCATCTTTGAAGAATTCAGTGGCATATTTTTGATGGCTGGTTGTCGCCACCTATTAGTTAAATAATGTAATTGCTGGCTGCATAACTAACTCAAAAACTGACTAAAAACAGAATCTATTTATTTATTTTTGCATTTTTAGATTTGAATGCAGCGATTCGAAAGATTAATAAACATTTGCAAATCACCATAATTTATCATTTATGTTGCGTGGGTGTTGAGATCCCGATCTTTCAATGATTAATCGTGCCGCTTACACTGGATACATTAATGCAGGCTGAACAAGTAGTGACAGAAAACACCTTTAATTACCCACAAATTAATAAACATCATCTTCTCAGAAATCCACCATATCCACAACTTCTTCTATCATCATTATATTTTACAGAAAAGCCTAATGCTTTCATACTTGCGGTTTGAATGACATGAGAGGTGATCTCTCTGTGATTGTTACAAATTTAAGATTAATCTACAAGTAAAAAAATATATATTATTCCGCAGGTCATGTGTGTTCTGAACCATGGGTTGTGATCCGTACGAATCATGGATCAACCGTGATCCGTTACACCCCTACTGGAGAAATGTTTAACTTACTCAAGCCACATATTTCCTATGTAGCTATCAGAGTACATTTTAACTACTTGAATCAATACACTCTGTGACACCTTTAACTGTGATATTCCGCTTTTGTATTCATTCAGTGACAATTCTCTCAGAGGCTGCTGTATCTGAAGCGAGTGAACATGCTTCTCAGTCTGTGCCGATGGTGAGCACCTCTACCCCAGGCCTCAGTGCTCCAGCAGTGGAGGAGAGAGACGACATGTTCCTGGATGCAGGAGACAGGTGAGATTTTTGAGTTTTGAGACTTTTCAACATTTTCTCTTATGATTTTGCCATGACAAGAATCCATATATATTAGTATTTAATGGGAACTTTGATAAATGTTTGTGCAGTGCTGAAGCTTCACTTGAGGCCGTGTCTCAGACTGAGGCAGAAGAAGCAGCGCAGCCTTCAGATGATGCAAATCTGCCTTCAACAAGCCAGGAACCATCATCTAGTTCAGCAGGTACAAACACAATAATATTAGACAAACCACATGCAATCTCTTATTTCTGTTTCACTAACTATGTGTCTCGCTTTTCTCTTTCAGACACAAGCAGCTCTCAGCCTCCTAAAGCCAGGAGCGGCTCTGGCAGACAGTGGACTGGTAGTCGAGGTTCTAGAAGCATTGTGAAGAGGGGTGAGACTTTTGTTTCTTATTTGTTAGTTTCTTAAACTTTTATTTCCTTCCTTCCTTCATACATTTTCGCTTTTAAGCGGGCTGCATTTACAAAGTATAATTTTAACATCTTTCTTGCTATAGATGGACTGAGTGTTATGGGTGTGAGAGGACGCTTTGCCAGATGAAGCAAAATCCCAGCAGTCTTCATTCTAGTCTTCATCCTGAACTATTGGCTCCACAAGAACAGCTGTGCTTTATTCTGCTTCAGGACTTCAAGTCAGTGTATTATAGCTGTCGTTTGTTAGTTGTATGCTCTGAGCAATCCATTGTTGTTATTTTTAATGATTCTACATCCATAAAATAAATTGTTTTGAAGAAAGAGATTTTTGTTTTGTCTGTGAAGATGTGACCGGTTGTTTTCCACTGCATATTAGACGAGTGCATGAACATGTACTGTGAATGGCAGGAGGTAAGGAGATGGATGACTCAGATTTTCTGAGTGTCTTTGCATTTGAAGAAGCTGGTCGCTGGGTTTTCCTTGGGACCTGTAACAGGTTTTAAGATCACTGGTTTATCTCTTTCCATTTTCATGCTGTAATAGTTTCCTGTTAAGGACAAGAACAGAAATGGGTAATACATGTTACTTCTGTTAAAATGGATATATGATGTAGTAAAACCAAATTAGAAATGTTGCTTTAGACACCAGGTTGAATAATGTTATGAAAGCTTAAATATAGAGCTATGTAGCATAATTGAGAACACAAAGATTTGTTGGAATTTATGAATTAGCTAACATGGATTAGCAAATTGCAATGAATTTTACTGTCCGTGTGTGCATGCATGCGTATATATATATATATATATATATATATATATATATATATATATATATATATATATATATATATATATATATATCTTTAAGATTAGCAACAAAAAAAGGGATCATACAAAAATTTAAACTACATCATCATTTACTCTCCCTCGTGTGGTTTAAAATCTTTGAGTTTCTTTCTTCTGTTGAACACAAAAGAAGATATTTTGAAGAATGCTGTTCACTGGTACTCATGGATATCCAAAGCCAGCAAGCAGCATTCTTTAAAATATCATCTTTTGTGTTCAATAGAAAAGGAAAACACCAAATAGGTTTTGAGCAAGTGAAGGGTTGTGAAGCAAGTGAAGAGTGAAAGATGATAATTATCATCATAAATGATCTCTTTAGTTTACAACAAATGGTTTATTAATGTGTTCATTATTCATTGAAACTAATTAGCATTATTACTGTATTTATATTTGTTAGTTCATGAGAACCAATACAGTCAGCTAATGTGAATGGTAGTACTTAAGTATGAGGAACATTTGTTATTAATTCTGATTTATTGCTCAGATGTACTGCTTCTAGTAAGGTAGTTGTAGTGGTTAGGTGTAGGTAAGGGATAGGAATAAAGTGTAGTATATGGTCATGCAGAATAAGGCATTAATATGTGCTTTATAAGTGCCAACTTATAGCCATCAGGTCAAAATTGAAAATTGGGGCCCATAATAGCATAAAGCATAGCCATATTAAAGAAAACCCTCTAAAGTGACCATGTAATGTATATTTTAAAACTAATAAAAATACAAAACTCAACTTTTAAAATACTAATAAATGCTATAATTGTATAATAATAAAAAAATAACAGTGGTTTAGAAATGTGGCAGGGCAAGGAGCAACCTTTCTAACTATTTTAAAGCTCCTCCCTAGTTTTGCTAAATGATATAACACTCACTTTGAGAGAAAACATAGTATTTGTATCCCTCTTTGACCCTGGAGGGTACAGACACAGATGAGGTCACCATGGTTGGAAATCCTCTCCAGGTTCGTGAGATGTTGATCACTTGCCCCAGTGCTGCAGCTGGGGGAACAGAACACCCAAAAATGAATGAAAATGCTTCGAGGTCTGATGCTTATCTTGTCTGTTAGGCCTCACATGGAACAACATGTCCTGTCTGAGGTTATCACGGTGAAATGTCTCTTCCAGGAAATTCTATACATAGAATTTTTACTTTTCTTGTTTGTATAAATGCTGATCTACACACAACTTTCCCCTAACTTCCTGTCATTTATACAAATGTGATTTATCTCAAACACTACTGTACTGCTGTTTCGACTGTAATGGTCTTATGTAATGAAACATGTTGATTCTTCACCTGTTTGTCTTCTTGTTCTCATCCTCACTGTGATCACTGGAATTTTTGGCCTTCTCCCACAGTTTGGAGTGACCTGGTAGGTGTACTTTTGAGCCATTCCACCTGCAGAAACGGATTACAAAGTCAACACTTGCCTAAAACAAAACAAGCACCCAAAGTGTGTCCAGTTCAGCCCTTTTATTTCCAACATGGACTCATTCATGTCTGACTTGTGTACTTCATGAGAAGTTGTCTTGATTGAACAACACTTGACGGATTTATTCTATACGTGACTCAATGAAAATTGTTTGACATGTCTATTTATTTATTTATTTGCATTAATGGCTGTTCTCCCTGCTGAAAAACAGCCTAGTCTGTTTTTGGCTGGTCGACAAGCCTGATTTTGAAGGGGTTTTGGCCATTTCAAGGCTTTTTTTTTCCAGTTTATAAATTTACTTGTGCTTGTCGTTATTGTTGTCCTTTATTATCGTCTCTACTCTCGTCAGAAGCCGATTGTGTGTGCAATTCTCAAAATCTTCACAAGAGGGCAATTTATCTGGGTATTCAATATTGCCAAAAAGATTATGAAAAAATGTCTCCAAAAAATTAAAATTCTGCCAATAATTACCCTCTTTTCTTTCCAAATACCAGAAACCTTTTGTGGAGATATTTTCAATCTAAAAGCTCCCTGATTCCCCATTGATCTTGTCTCGTTCAAAGTTAAAAAATGTACCAAAAACATCAAAATAGTCCATGTGTCTTCAGCGGTTTAATTGAAACATGAAGAATTTTAAATATTGCAAGAATAAAAAAAACTAACATAATGGCTGTGTCTTCTCCTCAGTGTCAGTATAGGGTGCACATTTACAAGGACTCTGCACTGATACTTTAAGACACAACAAGGTTAGGGATGCAACGATTATAGATTTTGGTTGTGCGATTATAATCTGAGGAATAATCACGGTTATCACGATTATTATGCATTTATTAATTTCAAAACACTGCTAGTTTAAAAAAAATACATAAAAACTACTTGTATTTTAAAGTGTTGATTATTGCTGCTGAGTAACCAAATAATATGACACAAAATAATAATAAAAACAGTCCATTTCTCTTTGGACTTAAAAATAAGTGAAAAAAGTTTTGGCATTTAAACATAAGTAATAATTTTACACACTGAAAATAAATGTCAATAAATAAAATTTAAATAAAAAGAATGTATTCGTTTTAAATAAATTAAAATATTTATAATAATTAAATACAATTTCAATAAATTAAATAAATCACATGTAAATAAATTTAAAATAAATGAAAATATATAAATAAAAAATTGTAAATAAATGAATTAAAAATAAATTAATAAATAAATTAAAAATTATTTTTTTAAATAAATTCAAATAAAATTAAAAAATCAATCAATAAATGAATTAGTAGTATTTGTCTAATGTAAATCTAGGTTACATAATAGCTAAGCATTTTCCTTTTACAGTAAAGAAATCTATTCAAAGGCTGCTGAAACCTTTGATCTATTTAACAAAATTGTTTGGTATTTTTCATTTTGCTTTTTTTTTCCTCGGTGTAGGGCGCTTGTGGCATTCTTTTTTAACTAGTAGGTGCGTATGGAAAGCACAAGTCCATCGCTCCATATATGCAAGCCACGCGCCTCCATTGGAAATAACGAACTTGCGCGTGCAAAAGATGCAATATGTGACTGGAGTTGACAGCTTCAGCCATAGTTAATCCAGTGAATGGTGTCCAGTACAAGCTCGGAACTTCAACCTAGCACTCAGTTGGCATTACTTTAAGTTGCAGCAGTTTTGTTTCATACAGAAACATGGTGTTAAGAAGCCTTCACAATTAATTTCCCGTGACAAATTAAATTGCGGTTAAAAGTGAAATCAGTTTATCTTTGCACCAGTAAATGTGCATACTATATTGACACTGAGGAGAAGACACTATTGAATCAAGTCATTATTTTTGTTCTATAAATGCACCAAAGTATTGAGTGTAAACTGAATGCATCTATGGGCTGTTTTTGGTGTTTTTCTGGACTTTGAACAAGTCATAACTATTGCTGTCTACGGAGGACCAGGAAGCTCTCAGATTCAATCTAAAATATCTTAAATTGTGTTCTGAAGATTAATGAAGGTCTCAAAGGCTTGGAACAACATGATAATTAGAAATTAAGAACCAAATTTTTCTTTTTGAAAGAAATAATCCCAATATTGTGGAACAATGTTGTTAATTCGATATCTCACACTGCTAGTTCAAGTTTCTGAGTCGTACAAGTCTAACTTTTTAACCACTAAATTTTGTTTATATCATGTAATCCTGTTGTTTTGTTCTCACCACAGAATAAAAATAAGAAAACTGCCGTTTTCATTTTACAGATTTTTTTATTTTACTTGCAAAGTGTGAAAGTTCTACCAGTATTATAAAAGGTAACCAATTCCTTTTTTTTTACATTGGTGGTAATAAAATTCCATAGCTTTTAGCATGTTTGAGTACATTTTAACAACAGTACTTACCTCTTTTGAAGAAGATGACAGACTCTTTTCTGCTTCTATACTCTGGTATAGATAAAGCAGCTGTGATATGACCAATTTGTCCAAAACCCTCGCTGATGGGTTTAGGAAAGCCAGGATCCATCGCACCGTTCTCAAACCTCCAGTAGTTCTTTCCCTGTGAATATAACCCAGCAAGCATTTTTTTGTTTTTAAAAGATGTCTAATAGATGTCTAATAGACATCTAAACAAAGTTGTCTTGGCTAAAACAGAGCTGTCAGTGAAAATCTAATAGGTGTCTAAGAATAAGCCAAAATTAGACTAGTCGTCAAATAAACAGAACTTAATGACTACACATTAAAAGTGTCCAATCTGTCTATTTGACAACTAGTCTAGTTTTGGACTATTTTAGCTGTCTATTAGATTTTTACTGACAGTCCAAGTTTAACCTTGTTTTAGTCAGGCTGTGTACGTTTAGATGCTTTTTAGATGTCCATTAAACAAAATTGTTTGCTGGGGAGATACATCAGCTCTCTTCCAGCATTTCATTTGACACCTTCTGCCACAACAGTGAGCTATATTATTCTACACTGGTGTGAAATGAAGTGTTTTGTCCTCTTGACTGCATACGAACCTTGAAGAAGTAGGTTTTGCCTTGGCAGTTGCAGCGGGTGTAAACAGTGTCGATGGGAGACGGGATTCCCCACACCTGCGTAATTAACTGAGGAGGATCAGGATTCCTTTGTTTGTCCAGAGTCCAAAAATAATGTCCTACAGAGCAGAAAGGAAAAGTGACATTCTTCCACACTTAACATTCAGTTCAGTGTTATCTACATTCAGGAACTGTCCATTTAGTAACCAAGGAATCAATCTTTTTTTTTTTTTTTTACATTACACTATGCCACTGTAGAAGAGTGCATTAACTGCCATTTGAACTGACCTCTGAACACCACAATGGTGCCATTTCTGAGAGTTGTCAGACCACTGACTGGACGCCCACTGCAGAGGTTACTGTCATAATCATCTAGAAAACAAAAACGTCTTGGGCGTTTAGACATTGTATGAGAAGCACGTAGGATATTAGTGTGGAAACAAAATTGAAACAGTGAAATTAAAGATTTTACCAGATTGATAATCTAAAATATCTGTTCTGCCATTCAGGTCTGAAGAAGGTTTAAGAGGCTTTTCTGTCACTCTGATTGGAGAAATGACTACAGGATCCTTGGGAGATTCCTTTACTTCTGATTTATCAATATTTTCTTTACTGGGTTGAGTGGGTTTTTTTGTTGGTTTCATTGGAGCAGGTGTCTTTCTTGGGACAGGCGTAGCTCCTTCTGTTGGTGCTGTTGTTAGATTTTCTGTTGGTGCTGCACTTGTTGAACCTTCTGTTGGTGCCATGCTTGTTGGATCTTCTGTTGGTGCTGGCTTTCTTGAATCTTCTGCTGGTGCTGGATTTCTTGGATCTTCTGCAGGGTTTTGGTCTGTTGGATCTGCTGTTGCCGCTGGGCTTGTTGGATTTTCTGCTGGTGTTTGGTTGTTTGGATCTTCTGGTGCCACTGTGCTTGTTGGATCTTCTGCTGGCACTGGGCTTGTTGGATCTTCTGCTGGCACTGGGCTTATTGGATCTTCTGCTGGCACTGGGCTTGTTGGATCTTCTGCTGGCACTGGGCTTATTGGATCTTCTGCTGGCCCTGGGCTTGTTGGATCTTCTGCTGGCACTGGGCTTATTGGATCTTCTGCTGGCCCTGGGCTTGTTGGATCTTCTGCTAGCCCTGGGCTTGTTGGATCTTCTGCTGGCACTGGGCTTGTTGGATCTACTGTTATTGTTTGTTTTTTTGGATCCTCTTCTGGTGAATCATCTACGGGTGTCACGCTTGTGGGACCTTCTGTTAATGCTATGCTTGAGTTCTCTTGAGGCTGTAATGTGCTGGAAGCGGTCAATTCTTCAGACGGCTGTTGAGTGGTAAAGTCTATATGGTTCTCATCAGCAGGGAATATGCTGCTCACATCTGAAGAGAACAAAACTATTACAATAAAAATGGACTGCAGCATGCAGAGGAAATCTGCAACAATGATTTGTCAAACTCTGTGCAGTGTTTGCAAACTAAAAAAAAAGGAAAGCACTGGAACCTGCGGTTGGAGTGGATGGGGCAGGAGATGAAGTCTCATTTTCAGGGTGAAAGGTGCTGTTTTCCTTCTGTTTCTCCTCTATATCTGAACCTGTGTAAGGTCCTTCAGGCAAAATCTCTGCTGGGACATCTGTGTGATTACATAAAATTTATGTTTAATTAGTTTTGTAATATGCAACATACTGGCAAAGTCCTGCTCTGTGTGATGTTTTACACATTAGACAAACACAGTGTAAGGTCTATTGTTACTCACCACGGCCCTCAGAAGGTGTGGGCTCAGTTTCATACTCAGGGACTGTAAACTCATCTGCCTCAGCATAAGAAAACAATGTCATGTTAACAGGGTTTTACAGTGATTTTGCCTCAGGCTACAAAATGGAGGCTTGCCAAATAATCAACAATCTTAAGAAAATGTTTGGAAAATAAATGTCTCTGATTTTGAATGTCATAACTGATTAATCTTACCAAAACAATTTTTGTTACTTGTTTACACAAAGTAATTTAATTGTTTGTTTGATTTTTATCTTAACATTTTAATTCTGCTTATTTTTCATCAGGAGAAATGTCAAAGGTATTGTGTTTTAAAAAAATCATTATAGGACTGAAAAGACCAAGAAAGAAAGAAAGACACACCTCCAGTTCCTTCCAAATTGGTCATCTCCTCATTGGAGGATTCTATCACAGACAAAAGGAAACACAGATTTACAGTAAAAGCACTGTTTGTGGATGCAAAAATCTAAAGCTACAGTACATGAAGCAAAAGATCAGCACACTTTGATTTGGTTATGTGTGACAAAGCTACAGTAATTATACCTGTAGACTTTTTATTCTTTATGTTTAGGCATAAGTTAGCGATCCTTTGAGCTGCGCTGGCAGTGTTTCTTGGCTTTAAGGCAGAATCTGTGACAGTCACAGAGATATAAGCTTCAAATCAGAGCAGATTATTCAGGATTAGATGCATGCAAACAGATGAATTCATCTGCTATTACACATTTTTAATATATATACAGTTGAAGTCAGAATTATTAGCCCCCCTTTGAATTTTTTTCCTTTTCAAATATTTCCGAAATGATGTTTAACAGAGCAAGGAAATTTTCACAGTATGTCTGATAATATTTTTTTTTCTGAAGACAGTCTTATTTGTTTTATTTAGTCTAGAATAAAAGCAGTTTTTCATTTTTTGAACACCATTTTAAGGTCAATGTTATTAGCTATTTTAAGCTATATTTTTTTTTCTGATAGTCTACAGAATTAACCATTGTTATACAATAACTTGCCTAACTACCCTAACCTGCCTAGTTAACCTAATTAACCTAGTGAAGCCACTTTAAGCTGTATAGAAGTGTCTTGAAAAATATCAAGTCAAACATTATTTAATGTCATCATGGCAAAGGTAAAATAAATCAGTTATTAGAAATGAGTTATTAAAACTGTTATGTTTAGAAATGCGTTGAAGAAATCTTTTTTCCGTTAAACAGAAATTGGAAAACAAAAATAAACATGGGGGCTAATAATTCAGGGGGGCTAATAATTCTGGCTTCAACTGTATGTATAGAAATTACCATTGCAACATTAGGAGTAAGAATTTTTTAAATATATCTATTCCTCAATTCTTCAGACACATTGACAACAATAAAGACTGTTCATATTTAATCATTCAAAATTATTACAAAAGTGCATCAATATTGCAAATAAATATTATATTTGGCATGTCCTCTGTTTGCCCTGTTAGAATATACAGTTAGTAACAACTGTTGCCCTTCAAAATATACAATTAGCAGTAAATATTGCACTCGCGTTTGAAGCATGTATATGCATATACAGCATTTATAACATGCTGTAATTGCTATAAGTACTACTTCCAAATAGTTTTACCTTCGATCAAGCACATGCTCTCATAATCAGGGCAGCACTGATTATACGAGACACAGTCGATATCACAGTGACATGGATTGCCTCTATTAAAAGGCTCTCCGCAGCGTCCTTTGCATGAGTCCTCTGTGATGAGAAATACAAGTATTACTTAAATGATTTAATAGGCGGTTACAAAGAATATAGATCAAGCCAGTGCTTCAATGACCCGTACTTGAAGTGCACAAATCCTGAAAGTCTGCACAGCACTCATTCAGGCCCAGACAATCATAGTCACACTGGCAGAAACTTCCTCTGTAATAGCCTTCTCCACAACGACCCCCACAACTGCCTGTTTATTTGACAAGAAAAACACTCTGAGAATTCAAAATGTTGAGAAACATAACTACATTTAGACACAAAGACAAACAACAGCGGTGTTAATTATTTACAGAGTCAACTGAAACCACTGCATTCTCAAGAGAGTAATGTTTTCAGATAGTAATTAAATCTGTGTGATAGATAGATAGATAGATAGATAGATAGATAGATAGATAGATAGATAGATAGATAGATAGATAGATAGATAGATAGATAGATAGATAGATAGATAGATAGATAGATAGATCTGTGATGAAAGATAGATAGATAGATAGATAGATAGATAGATAGATAGATAGATAGATAGATAGATAGATAGATAGATAGATAGATAGATAGATAGATAGATAGATAGATAGATATGCCATAGATAGATAGATAGATAGATAGATAGATAGATAGATAGATAGATAGATAGATAGATAGATAGATAGATAGATAGATAGATAGATAGATAGATAGATAGATAGATAGATAGATAGATAGATAGATCGATCGATCGATCTGTTGGCTTACGTGGATTTGAAGAGCTTGTGGAGACCCACACAAACAGCAGCAGTACGGATAGATATGTTGCCATCTCAATTGTTGTCTTTTGAAGTCATCACAGTCATCTAATACACACTCTGTTTTTCTTCACCTGCTGTGTTCTTCACTTTTATACCGAGCCTGAAAAGCGTTGGTGTTCCCCTCTCCGTCCAATTATGCAGTCAGTGCTGAATTAGTAATCGTCTAGTTTGCAAGGGTGCGGTAATCCACTTAGACAAACAGACTTGACCAATTCACCCACACTGAGAGCGCGCCTGGCCGAAAACACTCAAAGTACGCTGAGTGACATCACACACTGTTCCTATTACACATGTCCTAGTAGGGGGAAAAACGTAAATACAAAACAGTTTTTAGGATTTGCAAAACTTGTTATATACATGTAATAAATTAGTAGTGATAGTATTAGAAACACTATTTTCTAAGTGTTTTAGTTTTAACTTAGCTCGTGTCATTGGCCATCTAAAACATAGACTAACCTACTACTTTTTAGTTAGTTGTTTTTAGCGAGCTCTGAATAATGAGCCTCAGGCTCAGACCCTCATTTTTAATTTGTTAACAACATTTTAAAATCATACGGATAGAAGAACAGAACCAAGACCATGTTGTTTTGCTGTAATCGATAAACTTTTTTATTTATTTTTTAAGTATAGATAAAAAAATAATAGTAGTAATAACAATTATTTTTATTGTTACTATTACTAATAAGATTGTATTGTTAATTATAATGTATTATAATGTATTATTATTATTATTATTATTATTATTATTATTATTATTATTATTATTAATTAAATGCTTATTAGATAATTTCGCAATCAAATCGCTGCGTTTTCTCACCCCACCGAGGGGTAAACCACCAACGATATTTCTGCGGATGCGAAGCGACTACACAGAACAATAATCTTTGAACTAACAGTTACTTTCATGTGCAATCGTAATGGACATTAAAAAGTATTTTGAATATATACCGCTGCGTAAAACAATACGCTAAAAAGCTGTTTTTATTTAATTATGACGCTTTCATTGCTGATAAACTGAGTCAGTCCCCCCTGTACAACAAGATGGTTTCGTCCAAATCTATAACAGGAACAACCGGTGTTTACCATTTGCCAACAGGAAGTTGTTTTTCGTGCCATTTTTGATCTGGTCTGTCACAAATCAATTGGTTCGTTGGCGAGAAAATGAATTCAAAGTGTTTGTCCGCTTGGTCCAAGTTAAAGTAGAGCAAACGCGGACAGTTTTTGCAATCATGGTGTCTGCGGGAAAGGAAAACGGGTATTCATAAGCAGCACGTTTCCTGCGAGGTGACACCGACATACAGGTACACTGCTCGCTGTACAGCTGTCATGTATAGGCATTAACGTTAGATCCGGGCGCGAGATAAACACAATAACGAGGGACAATTAAATTGTGAACCCGAATCCAGTGTACGAAGTGCACGTCCACAGTGATTCTTAATGCTCTGTAAAGAATTTTGACATGTTGTTTAGAAAACAACTACTATCAGCCATATGCCAAATATTTTTGTAAGCATTTAGTCTGAAACTCGGTTGCACACTTTATTAAATGCGTTGGAATGAGTTGGAATATTGGATGTAAATAATAAAAACTTGTGCTACTTTTTAACATCTTGCATGCTGCTTTGATTACATGTTACTGAATATATACAAACTTTAAAGATGAGATGTCTGGGTTAACGTTATTACATTGTCATGTTATTGTGATGCAGATGTTCATTCTGATTTGTTCCCTGACAGTGTGATAGGCAGACGATACCAACTCAGGATGGGTGCCGAGAGCAGTGCCCTGCCAAGCTGTGTGCTGGAGGAGCCACTGCTGACGCTGCCCTCTGGTCTCACCATGTTCTCTGCCCTCCTCCGGGATGGCAAGCCTGCCTCTGTGTTTGTACATAAGCAAGACAATGAAGACAAAGTCAATAAAGCTGCCAAGGTATAAGTGAAACATCAATGAGTATTCTAATCACTGGCAAGCATTTGTCAAAAGTTAGTGGAGACTTGGTTATTACCTCACGCATTATTTGTGGGAGGTCATATACAGTGTTTCCCTTAATTTAAAGTAAGCTAATAAATAGCTAGTCAATAATTTTTGGTCACTTTATTTTGATGGTCCGTTTGTTGGATTTAAGTTACATTGCATCTACATGCTAATTAATTCTCATCAGATTATAAGGAGACTGTTAAGCTGGGGTTTAGTGTAAGTTAACATGTACTGTCAAAGTTTCTTATAGTCAGTTAAATGTCTGTTGAATGCGCAGTAACAACAGATATTAAAGGGCACCTAGGTTACCCCTTTTTTCAGATTTAATATAGTGTTTTGCGTCTCCAGAATGTGTCTGTAAAGTTTCAGCTCAAAACACTCATCAGATTTTTCATTATACCTTTTACAAGATTCTGTTTTTATACATTTTTGCACCTGGGGGCAGTTTTGTCGTATTACGCCGCTTTTAAGGCTAGTCCTCCCCATCTACCGTTGTTACGTGCATTTCTGCGTGCCTTAATCTCCTCCCTTGGCTGTGTCAGACAAAACAGACTTAAAGGAAGCAGATCTCACGTAGCGTTTGTGAGAAATACCACAGGAAGAACTTTACCAATGAGTATTTGATGTGAAGTTGCATCGATGAGTTACACACAATATCGTTACAAAGTTCACATACACATACACACACACACACACACACACACACACACACACACACACACACACACACACACACACACACACACAGACAGACAGACAGACAGACAGACAGACAGACAGACAGACAGACAGACAGACAGAGCGCGTTTAGCTTTGCACTCTTTTAGCACGCAAATGTGACAGAATACAGGTTAATCTCCACTGCTGTGTGGATATCTGTTATGTTAATGTGCAAAAAAACCTGATTTAACGTCTACAAACCGGGATTGAAGCGTCTTCCTTTATGACTGTTCTGACACGGCTGTGCTGATGATGTAAAGCTGAAGTAAAATCGCTGTACTTCATTACACACGTGCACTGTTTTAAAACATTTTAAACATGTGAAACTCACTCTTGATCACATTTGATGATGATTGATGATCCTAGCGAACTGAACAGACCTTTTATTCCCAGTTGCTTTGCGCATGTCTGGTCTTGTTGATATGATTATACGCGTAACTACCGGGACAAGTTATTACGCGCAGTTGTCAATCAATTCGGTGGGCGGGGGGACCGAACTCCTACGTCAAGTTGCGGTCGGTCTGAAAACCGCTCCAATTGGTCCACCGTTTTTGTTGTTAAATTGAAAAAGAAAAAGGACTGGGTGTGTTTAAGACAATCTAGTAATACTTAATTGGACCATCAAAATAAAGTTTTACCCATTTATTTATAATCTTATTAATAATAAGTATATAAGGTGTGCATGGGGTGTTGACATATTGCATTGTTTACTGTCTCACATTACAAAAATGTGCATAAATTAATATTGATATCATTTAAAATGCTGTAAATTAAGCATTTAAAACTTAATTAAGTAAAACTGCTGTGTTATTACATTTTTGAGCTAAATCTCAAAACGTCGTATGGTGTGACTGTCTCAAGCAGAGATGCCCAAACTAGGGTCTGATATTTGGTTTTTGGCCCTCATAATAAAAAAAAAAATTGGGCACCCCTGGTCATAAGCATAGTTCGTTAAATTACAGTTCTTATAAATGAAAAAGAAAATAATAAAAATTCATTGATAAATGACTCAAGTGCCTATTTTAGTAAATAGAAATCATTATTACCATCCGTATATTTCTATAAAACATAGATCTTTGTACATTTTGTCACAGAAAAACATGTCCTCTGTTGTGACATCATATCCAAATATTTTTGGCAATGCCACGAAAAATTTGGGTCAGTTGAAGTATTCCATTTTAAGATCATGTGACTGAAACCCTGTGTGGCCCATAAGTGCACTTGTTAAGGTTTTGTCTCAGAATTTTTTGCATATTATAATACGTTTTTTGGAACCACTATAAAATTAAGTTTTGTTGTCACTTGATGTAACACCCCTATTAATTAAAAATGTCCAACAAGGGAAAAAATATTCATAATTTAATATAAAATAAATAGCGTTATAAGCGTTAAGGTAAGTGTCCAACATTGAAGATACATCACTCTCAGACAGTTTGTATATTATTAATTAAGAGTTGTTTTTCTTTATTTTTGCTACATCACACAATGGGATATTTTATGGTACAGTTCAGTAAACATAATAAAAACTGTAAAAGAATTGATGACGAAATTTGTAATGCCTCATATTTTCTTTAACAGACTTTATACAACATAATATAACTTTTTTTGTCTCTTCATAAACAGTGTTTTACATGAAAAGCTTTTTTTCCCCTTCATGTCAAGCACAATTCCCCTGACTGTAAAACACATTTAACTGGGCTGTCCTGAAGGCTTTTTTATGAAATAATCTCTTCTAAGGACATTTTAAGCAAAGTGACACCATAAAAAAAATCTGAATTTTTATCAAGTATTAGCACTAAAAATCTTATTTAATTTCTATATTCATCTGTTTGTTGTTTTTGAATATATATTTATTAATGAAATGTTCTTGCCATGAAAATAGCTTTGGTTGCTGACATGTAATGTATTTTTTAATGTCATTCCTACATGTCAACTACCCATATGAAGTGTCATGTAAAGGTGAGTAACCTGTTTGTGATCTTTCGTTGCAGCATTTGAAGACATTAAGGCATCCGTGTCTTCTTCGCTTCCTGTCATGTTCAGTGCAGGATGGAGGCATACACTTAGTGACAGAGCCAGTTCAACCATTAAAACGGCTGCTAGACAATCTTTCTGCTGAGGAGATCTGTGCAGGCCTCTATGACCTGCTGCAAGCACTAGTCTTTTTACATGACCGGGTAAGGGTTACAACTTTCCAGCTTTTGTTATGCTTATAAGACGTCGAAACATAGACATCTTGGCTAAAACTAGGCTAAATTTGGACTGTCAGTGAAATTCTAACTGACGTCTAACAAGTTCAAAAATAAACTAGTCATCAAAAAGGCAGGACTACACAAGTGATTTTATTTGATAGTCTATTGTTAGACTTCAATCAGCTGTCAGTGAGAATCTATTAGATTACAGACTGTTTAAATGTCTATTGTATTAGACATCTTTTAAACTTTGCTTTGGTTGGTTTTTGCTTTTGCATGCAAAATGTACAATATTCTCTGCGCAGTTCATTTTTTCATTCATTTTTCAAAGTCAAAAAAATAAATTAGAAACGCCTTTGCAATGGTACACAAATAGGAAACCTTCAGATTTAATCTAAGTTGCTTAAAGTAATATCAGATGAATATGTAAATATGTGCTGTGCATTTTACTCTCGATAACAAAATAAAAACTAAGAATAAATACTTTAAAATAAAAATGACAGTTGTATGATATTTTGAGTAATTGATCTAGCTATGTAAAAAATGCTTTCTTTGCATAATAAATTGACATTACCGTACAGAATAGCTTTTGGCAACAACATAAACATTATTTAAGCTTCAGTTTTAACTGCCAAAACAGAAGAAGAGTCTGGGAAATGTGTGTAAATGTCACAATTTGACATTCACATAAAAATATAAATTTTTCAAGTACAACTTAGAAAGATCTTTTTTTTTTTCATTTCAAGCTGTTAATAAATTGGCACAAAAGCAGTTAATGCATTAAAATCCTTACATATAGTCATTTTATATTTAGCTAAGGAATGGCATGATGTACATTCAGTTGTTCTAACTAAACAGTTTTTTCCCTGCATGTTTTAGGGCAAATCAAGTCACAACAATGTGTGCATATCCTCAGTTTTTGTCGGTGAAGATGGTCATTGGAAGCTTGGTGGGATGGAGACTGTCTGCAAGTTTTCAGAGGCAACACCAGAGGTGACGTTTGTAACCACTTAAGTACTAATTTGTGCCCTAAACTTATACTTAAATGAAGATAGAAATCCTGTTTACTCCTAATTTCTCAAATGCTTTTTCCAAAAGATTTTTAAAGCGAATTTGTGTTCAAAATTAGACAAAGTTGACTAGGGTAACTTTGCATTGTGTCAATTGTTATTTATTTTTTTCCTCCAGTTTCTCAAAAGTATCCAGAATGTAAGGGAAAATGGTGCCATTCCTCCTGAGGAGAAGGTAAGAACCATATAAACCAAATGCAAATTTTACTCTTTTTCAATTATTAATAAAGTACTCCATATCAGTGTATTAGGATGATTTCTCAAGCATCATGTCACACTGAACAATGTAGTTAAGGATCCTGAATAATAATGTAAATGGAATGACACATAAGAGATGACTTTTTGCTGTATTTGAATCAAATAAATGTCTCCTTGCTGATTTGTTGCCATAAGGTCTGGGACAAAATTGCAGCTGACAGCAATCCTGATCATTCTGACTGAGTAATGCAATGTAATGTTTTTTTTTTTTATAATAATTATTTGTAGCTTGAAGGATTCAAAACTCTTCCCGAAAAGCATGCCCACTCCCGAGATGCTTTTTCATTTGGAGTGATGGTGGAGGCCCTTCTTCCACTGCTGACGGGACATGGTTAGTAACACTTAATTCAGCAGACGCATTTAAAGCAGGCTGAGTGTGTCTCAGATTCATCCTGTTGTTGCAGCTGCTAAGCCTTTACTGCTCAGACATTGTGACGTATTTGTTAATGGACTAACAACTATGTTTTAAAAACAATTTAGCATGCCAGAGACTCTTTAAAGACGGGTTTTCCATTCTAGGCAGGTTATAAAGCCTTCATGTTCAAAGAACAAATTGATCCACATGAGCAATGCAATGATGATGCAATAGTTTGGCATGTATTTTGGAGCAGTTTTACTAAAAACATGTGCGTTTTTTTTTTTTTTTCTTTTAGTCTCACATGCTAAATTGTAGTGCGTTTTTCCATTCCCTCCCTTTATTTGTTCATGTCTGCTCTCATCTTTGTAACCTCCACCCAAACGTTCTGTCTCAGTCTCAGATGATTTGTTGGTGAGTCTAAAGAACATGCTGCAGGCCAGCCTGTTGACCCCTGACCACAAGTCTCGTCCATCTCTTAGCACTCTGCTGACTCACAACTTCTTCAGGTTTGCTCTTCAAAATATGCTATTAAATATGTATGCATTGATAGGTGTCCTTTGAAAATCAACTCTGAACTGAAAATTCTGCTTTGCCAAAATGTTATTCATACATTTTGAATGGTAGTGATGTTTCAATGTCTTACTTTTTAACAGTAATTTTGGTCAAATAAATGCAGACCATTTACAGTACATCCGGAAAGTATTCAAAGCGCTTCACTTTTTCCACATTTTTTTTTATGTTTCACCTTTATTCTAAAATGGATTAAATTAATTTATTTCCTCAAAATTCTACACACTCTGAAGCAAGTTTTTATTCGGGATGTCACTGTACAGTGCTGCATTCATCTTTCCCTCTATCCTGACTAGTCTTCCAGTTCCTGCTGCTGAAAAACATCCCCACAGCATGATGCTGCCACCACCATGCTATTAGCCTGGTGATGAGCGGTGCCTGGTTTTCTCCAAACGTAACGCCTGGCATTCACTCTAAAGAGTTCAATTCTCATCAAATCTCATCACACCAGATCATTTAAATCCTTATGGTCTGAGAGTCCTTCAGATGTCTTTTGGAAAACTCTGGGTGGGCAGTGGCTTCCGTTTGGCCACTCTACCACACAGGCCTGATTGGTAGATTACTGCACAGATGGTTGTCCTTCTGTAAGGTTCTCCTCTCTCCACAGAAGAACGCTGGAGCTCAGACAGAGTGACCATCGGGTTATTGATCACCTCCCTGACTAAGGCCCTTCTCTCCCGATCACTCAGTTTAGATGGCCGGCCAGCTCTAGGAAGAGTCCTGGTCGTTCCACTTCCACTTACAGATGATGGAGGCCACTGTGCTTATTGGAACTTTCAGAGCAGCAGAAATTTTTCTGTAACCTTCCCCAGCTACTGAAACACCTCAAGAATGATCAGTGGAAACAGAATGTAACTGAGCTCAATTCAGAGCTCCATGGCAAAGGCTAAATACCTTTTTTTCACATTGTCATTATGGGATTTTGTGTGTAGAATCTTGAGGAAATCAATGAATTTAGTCCATTTTGGAAGAAGGCTGTAATTTAAAAATGTGGAAAAAAGTAAAGAGCGATGAAGACTTTCCACATGCACTGTACATATTAAATTGTATTGATGTTTCACTATATTACTTTTTAGAAGTAATATTGGTCAAATAAATGCAGAAGATTTATGTTAATGAAGTTGATTGTTCCACTTTATTTTGAGGGTCCTCTTTGTTGAGTATAGGCATGGGCACACTATATATCATTTCTGTACACTTTTTTCCATGGAATTCACTTCTGGACTATTACAGTGCCTATAAGTAACTTTTCAACTATATGTCAACCAATTCTCACAGGACTCTTGGTAGACATTCAGGTTGATGTTAGTACATTAAATTGACATGTACTTGTAAAGTTACTTAATGTCTGTGGGGGGATCATCAAAATATAGTGTTAGCTAATATTAAACCAGACGGACCTCTTATACACTAATGACAGCTAGTTGACATGCAAAGTTGTCAGCAAATTAATATTAGTAGTATACGATTAGAATGTGTTAATATTTAATAATATTTCATCCTTACAGAAATGACTTTTTGGATATCATGAATTTTCTGAAAAGTCTGACCCTCAAAAACGAAGAGGAGAAGAATGAATTCTTCAAGTTAGTCTCCCCCTCGAATGCACAGTTTTATAACTCTGGAAGTGTGACGTGGACTAAATAGCTGCTTGTTTCTGCAGGTTTCTCTTGGACCGGGTACAGAACCTCCCGGAGGAGTTAATTGCAACACGTCTGGCTCCTAAACTGCTCAATTCTTTGGTCTTTGCTGAGCCCATGGCTGTGAAAAGCTTTCTTCCTCACCTTTTGCAGCCTAAGCAAGGTAGAAACAGCCAGTAAAGATGCTCAAAGTGCACATTACCCAGGCGTGATTGATACTGTAGTTTTAAAGCAAAGTGTTTGTTTTGTGATGTACAGACTCGAGTGTGAACGCCGGGGAGGAGTGCCTTCTGTCTTTGTCTCTCTACAGGAGATATGTGGTTCCTCATCTCCTGAAGCTCTACAAGGTGAACGAGGAGCATGTCAGGATGGTGCTTCTCTCCCACATTCACGTCTACGCTGAATTCTTTCCACTTGAAGAACTCAAAAAACAGATTCTTCCTCAGGTAACTCGACCGCTTGGTAATCTTCAATAATGTGGGAATAAATGTAGCAGTTCATTGTGCTTTGGTAACCCCTGATAAAGAAGGCAAATAAGCCAAAGTGAATGTGAAAGAGATTGAGTCCCGGTTGTTTTTATGTTAATACTGTACTTCCACTGTGATCGTGATTTCTCACACTCTTGTCATGCAGGTTTTGCTGGGAATGCGAGACACAAATGACTCACTTGTCGCAATGACACTACAGAGCTTGGCCGTGCTTGTCCCTTTGCTCGGTGCACAAGTGGTTGTTGGTGGGGAAAGAACCAAAGTTTTTAAACGGACTACACCAAACTTCACCAAGTCCACAGAAGTCACTCCAGAGAGTAAGACATGTCTGCTAATGCACTTCTATTTAATATATTAATCAACATGCACACCTTCTCTGTGTTTTACTAAAGGCCATCACTTATTTACTTTAAATCTCCCTGTATTTTGGTAGGTTTAGCAATTATTTTCTTCCTATTATAACAAAACATTCAGGCTGCTAGAGCTGACCCAGAAATTGCACTAGTTTGTGTATAGTTGTGTTATTATTCATGAATGTTTATTTCTGTTGCACCGTTGTCCTGTGAGTCATGATATGTTATTCCACTGAATGACAACACATATGGAGAGGAATGACAATAAAGCCCTATAGCCAGATACTGTACATCAGTCAATACTTGCTAATGGTCCCTTTCAACAAGACTTTTAACGGTCATCATAATCTTAAACCCTTTAAAGTTTTTAATATATAGATTTTTAAAAAACTTATGAACATTTATATGCATTTATGTATTAATGTGCTATATCATCTTTGTTTCAAAAAAACTAATTACTACTTATGCGAGGTGTCTTTAATGCGCCGTCTATGGGGCTGATTTGACATTGTTCTCTCCTCTGGCTGCCATCATTAGTGTGTCACAATTTTTTTTTTCCTTTTTCTGAAAGTCTTGATACCACTATCGTGGCGTTTTTCTTTTATTATTTTAGCAAATAAGATTGTAATAAAATTGTTTGTTGTGTTATCTGAGTCACTGCGCTCTAAGTTTACCCAACCATGACACCTTCCGCTACTGAGAAACCCAGAAATGTGAATAGGATCTCTGCTTTTATTAAATTGAAATGCTCGATTTATAGTTTTGATAGTTTTGAGGACACTGCTGTGTCAGTTATACATAAATGGCATCTATTCATTTATCTTTTCAAAACAAAACCTAATATGAAACAAAATTGAGATGGATTACACTGATGACAACATTTTATCTCTTAAAGGGATAGTTCACCTAAAATGACCTCATTGTTTATTCTTCCTCATGTTTTCTGTTAAACCTAAAAAAGGATATTTTGAAGAATACTTGTAGAGTATTCGTTTTCTACTATGGACGTCAATAGCTACCCTTATTTTTCTAAATGTCTTCTCTTGTGTTCAACAGAGGAAAGAAACTCAAATAGCTTTTGAACCAGTAAATGATGACAATTTTTCAGTTTTGTGTGGGAAATATTCCTTTAATAATTTAACTTAATTACTATGTGGAAACACAGTGGCGCAGTGGTTAGCACAGTTGCCTTACAGCAAGAAGGGCACTGGTTCGAGCCCCCGCTGGGTCAGTTGGCATTTTTGTGTGGAGTTTGCATGTTCTCCCTGTGTTGGTTTCTTTCGGGTGCTCCGGTTTCCCCTACAGTCCAAAGACATGCGCTATAGGTGAATTGATCAAGCTAAATTGTCCATAGTGTTTGTGTGTATCTCCAGGCTGTAGGTTGATCAATGGGGCTTACAACCCACTTCATAAAAACTAGATGTAACAAAACACCAGTATGGTGCGGCTAAATATCAACTGCGATTATATAAATATTTACACACTTTAAAGTTGCATTAAATTGATCAAACAACTTTTGTTTAATCAAATGTGCACGTGTAAAATGTAACTTTTTTTTCTCTCTCTCTGAAGCATCGCCTGTGCATATCGTTGGGTCATCGCATCCCCATATCTCACAACCGCCAACGGTCCTAAATTTGTTCTCTAAAGGCTCGGAGGACCAAAAGGTGGTTCTAGAAAATATGTACTCCTTCCAAGCTGCTGAAAACACCACATCCGAGCACATTTCAGAAAGGACGGGTAGGTGAAAAAACACAGTTCTTTACTATGTCTCTGTGAAGTTTATTTATAAACTAGTGTTGAGACGATCACGTGCTTATGATTGACCATGACTGGATTCTCCATTCTTCCTATCACATTCTTCGTCTTGAAGAGTCCCTCCTGTCTCCCCCTGCTTCCTAGATTGGGTGGCATGGTGGCCCAGTGGTTAGCACTGTTGCCTCCTAGCAAGAACATCACTGGTTCCTATCCTTACTAGGCCAGTTGAAGTTTCTGTGCGGAGTTTGTATGTTCTCCCCATGCTCGCGTGGGTTTCCCCCGGTTTCCTCCCACAGACCAAAGACATGTGTCATAAGTAAGTCAGTGCTTCCCACAGGTTTGAAATATACTTGGTAGCTGGATTGAAACACATCTTTTACACTCGGCACATAAATGGTCAACTGCATGCGACAAACAAAAATTATTGTGATTTTTAACTTATCTTTTTTATTTTCACACTGTTATACACATTCTCAATGGGTTAAAGTTAAAAAAGGCTATTGAAACAACAGAAATCCACTATTTCTTTTATTTTATGCTAATTAGAAGCTATGTAAGCCCATTGACAAGTAAAGGCCTCTCTCTCTTTCTCTCCCTCTCTCATTTTCACATTTTAGGTGCTTTATTGGCATGACAAATAACTGTACATTCTTATTTAAAAAGCAGTGCAGCATCGCTGCGTACAAACAAGACTGCAAAAAGGGCAAAAAATAGAAAATATAATACAGAAATAAAGAAAAGAAAATAGAAAATAAAAATAGATTAATAAAATAAAAATAGGTTAATAAAAATAAAAATAGATTAATATTAATGGTAATGTATAAAACAGGATAAAGGTAGAAGACAGTATTATCAAAAGTAAGTCCACAGATAAAGAGTTCCAGTATTAGTGTGTTGGAGACAGTGGAGCGGGTCATTGTGGGTTCCTCAGACGGTGGCAGGAGTGCACAAACTGAGCTGCTAACACACAGCAGCACACACACTCCCCCAGTAAGATAGGCAGTTTCTCACTGTTCGGCAGGGACTTAAAGTTTTTCTGTATGTGTTTAAGTTTCGGGTAGAATTTCTCCCGGATCTCAGAGTATTTTGTGCACTCAGTGAGGAAGTGCAGCTCCGTCTCAATCAGCTGCTGAGTGCAGTGTGGGCACAGCCGCTCCTCCACCGGCAGCCATGTTTGTCTGTGCCGGCCCGCTAGTGTCTGCAGAGTCTGTATCTGCTCAGGGTGTTCCTCAGATCTCCCCTCTCTCTCTCTCCATCTCTCTCTCTCTTTCTCTCTCTCTGCTTTTTTGGCATGATATTTATAATGTTATGCCAATAAAGCATGATATAGTACAGTATTGCCAACGCATTTTAGTAAAAAGTATGTAATATATTAGCATCATTAAATCTATAAAATATACAGCAAATATGAAAAATAAATGAATCTTAAAAATAGAGATTATTTCTAAAAATCATAATAAATATTAGTCGATTAGTCGATTAGCCATTTCTAATGTTGTACAAATATTTTGCAGCCAGTATATTTTGTTCTCTCCGAGTATATAGTAAAGTTTATCTGAGTCGGTTATTCAGTGATTAATCATTTAATGTTTCTCTCGCGGATGTGCGTGCGCAGTAAGCTGCGAGAAGGTAATGCAAAAACTCATACAAATAACTGCAACTTTACAAAGCAAAAGTAAAACCCAAATCTCGGCATTTTAGGAGATTCAGAAACTACAGTTGGATGCATTTTGGTGCAAAAGGCGCGTGTCTGTGTGTCTGCAGAGCAGGTGAGATTGTGTAAGTGTTGACAGTTCTCACACACAGAGAACCAGCAGTAGGAAACGTGCAGAGCGAGAGAAGATTTTTCACTGGTAATCCATCGCGAATGTTTGTCTTTCTTGAGCAGATAAAAAAAGTGTAAAAGGATGATGATAATAATAGTGTTATTCATGTGTCACCACCAAATACACCTGGGCAGACATTAATATACCTGGGTGGCCTGCCCAAGTAGTCTTATGTGTGGGAAGCACTGTAAATTGACTAAACCAAAATGGCACCATTGTCAAGTTCCCAATCCACATTATTTTTCCCTCTTAAAGCAATTCGCCATTAGCCATAAATAAGCAGGGGAGTTCTAGAGATCTACCTGAACTCAATCTCCCCTCTCACCCTATAAACGGGAGAAAGTCCAGAGCTTGAGGATCTTATGGGCTCAGGGCTCTCTCCGGGAACAACATGCTAAACACACTTTATAATCAATCATCAGCTAAGTGTGAACTCTTGATATGATCTGAAGAATGAATTGATGTGCTATCATTCTAAATCAAGTGTTTTCTCCAGTATTTAGCAGCGAGATGTCGTTCCCTTTGAATGGGTACAGAATGAGCACACAACCTGTGGAGAGCAGGAAGAGTAACGGCGAGGTGAGAACTGATGAAGACTGGCCCAACTGGAGTGACACAGAGGAGATGGAGAAAGACAAGAGCCAGTCAGTCCAGATCAGTATTCAGTCAGCGGAAATCCCAGATCAGAGGAACTCCACTATACAAGCTCACAAAGAGGATGATGGTGAGGAACCCTGGGATGATTTTGAGGACTCTGAAGTGACCTCGGACCAGTCGCCCTCCACTCGTTTGCCAGTCTCTGTACCAAAGATGTCCGCTAAAAGCACTGGATTATCACTGTCTGAACCTAGCGCAGGACCTCTAAGGCCATCAAAAGCACTCAGATTGAACCCTAGCATGAAAAGCGCTCCAGATCACAACCATACAACATCATGGGACACCGGCTGGAACCAGGAAGCGAACACCCTCAAACCCAACAAAACAAGCTTATCATCAGAGCCCAGGCCAAAAAGCACAATCAGAAGCCCTGCAGCTGGAAGTCTCGGCGAGGAGTTCACCATCGCGGTGAAGAAGAAGTTCGAGCCAGACCCAGAACTAGACTTCTTTGCAGACATGATCCCGGATATAAAGCTGTCTTCCTCATCTCTTCTGCTCCCTGTGGAGAGCTCAGCCAGTGTAGCCGTCATGGGACACGTAACATCAGATCCATCCATAGACACAGTGAGCCTCACTGCCAAGTTTGCTGCAGCTGATTTAACCGAGGTAAGTTGAACTGTGAGACTCTGCATTGATTTAAAGGTACAGTTCACCCACAAGTGAACATTCCAGGGTTTTCACTGTCTTTCATTGACTTAAAAGCTTACTTTTCATGACCTTTAATGAATGGAAAAACAGGCAGGTCTTGTATTAAGCACTCCATCAAGAATTTTGTTTCTCCAATCGATAAATTTAACAGCAAACTTTTTTTTGAAATAACAAATTTAAAGCTTGAAATTTTTTTTGTTTTAAATTGCTGTAGATTTTGGCCAGCCAAGACATCGTTCAGATTTCTGCCGCACCATCTGCATTGTTTTATATTAAACTACAAAATATTCAGATTTTAAAATATATGATATATGGATATGTGATTTTAAAAACAAGATATAGAAACCAAGAACACTTTGATAATTTCCTTCATTCATTTTTCTTCGGACACAGCGGAATGAACTTCAAACTTATCCAGCATATGTTTTATAGAGCTCTTCCAGCTGCAACCCAGTACTGGGAAACATGATAAATAGGAAGTCGAATTTAAAATGACAAATCCCTGATATTCCATGACTTGCAAAACAAAAATCAAAAATTCAATGACTTTTAATGTCTGAATTAGACTTTGTAAAATTCCACATTTCAGAAATTCAAAGACCCGTCAGAACCCTGATATTCTGTCATCATTTACTCCCATTTCACATGTTAAAAAAAAAGATTTTTCAAAACTTCATTGACATTAGGGCTGGGTGATTTGGCCTAAAATCAGAATCTCCATTAATTGAACATTTAAACTTGATTACACTTAATTAACAATTATTTTATTTATTTATTTTATGTTTGTGCCCTTACAGTTCACTGACAAGTTTTGTGCAGTAAATATGCTTGCATATTACAAGTGAGAGATTTTAAATGAAGGGTGCATTACTTGGATCTAAAATAATTGAAACACACACTATATATTATCTATGATTCTTTATTGAACATCAATGCTGAATAACTGAAGTTAAAACACACATTGCCTAAATGTGGCTCTCCGCGCTGCTCACCCTCATCACTGCTACCAAACCGACCAATCACAAAGCTTGTGCTACGTGTTGTTGTGATGTGTACTTTTTAAGGGGGTGCGGGTAGGAGAAGGCTGCGCTGGACCATACGCGTGCGTTTGGGTGAAGTGTAATGTAAGAGTAATTAGTATAAAACTTAATATAATAAGTATAAATTAACTTTAACAGAGCGGGGTCACAAGACTCCACACACGGAAGGGAAAGTAATTGAAAAAATTTACTTAAAAAAAAGTTTGATCAATTTTAGGATCTGAATGTCAATTTCCGATTAATTGCCCAGCCCTTATCGATGTCCACAGTAATGTATTGTTTTTCCTGCAATGGTTCCACAAAGTCAATAGACCTCAGCAACCAGCATTCTCCAAAATTTCTTCTATTGTGGTAAGAAACTCATAAAGGTTTAAAACCACATAAAGGAGAGTAAATGATGAGGTAAGTTTTATTTCTGGGTGAGCTCTCCTCTTGTTTAGTTTAGCTCCAACCCTGATCAAACACAACTAAGTAGGATCTGAAGGTGGACTTGGTAATTAAAGACAGGTGTGTTTGATCAAGGTTACAGCTAAACTCTGCAGGAAGGTAGATCTCCAAGAACAGGGTTGGGCCCTAGACGGAATATGCCGGAATATTTGGCATTTCATTCTGCTGTGGTCTGGACTCGGTATAAGTTAGTTGTGGTTTTGTGACAACTTTGTTTCCTGGCAGACCTTTTAAAGAATTTCTTTTGAATTCAACCAATACAGGAGCTGCGTCCCAAATCGCATACTTATGCACTATTCTACGCCATTTTGTAGTATAAATAGTGTAAGTAGTGCGTTCACACTGAAAACTCTAAAAATAATAAGTGCACTTTAATTACCCGGATGATGCACTCATTCAGCCGCTAAAGTGAAGTGTGTAATGATGGACACTTCACGCACTCAACGACCGCAGGTTTGCTTACGTAGCGGAAGGGGCAGAGCTATCGGACGCACATGTTGAATAACTTTATTTAATTTGGATGGTGAAAGCAAAATTCTTTTACGAGAGTGATTATAGCGCCTCCCGATAGTGATTGCGGCAATACTCACGGCAGGTATTATTTGATCATTCGGCCGTTTACTTCAATGATTTGGCATCAGGGAAACGGTTTGAATTTCCGCTTAGTAAAAAAAACATTAGTGTGCCATTTGGGACAACACTACATGCATATACTATCCTGTTGAGTGTGTAAGTGCATAAGTACATAGTGCATGAGTGCATAGTGTGCCATTTGGGACGCAGCTAATGACTTCAAAACATTCAAAATGTTTACCATTTCATATGCAACCGGTGATAAGCCAATGATGAAGCCATGTTGTCAAATCTGAATGCACATTTGCAGTTGTTGAAATGTTTGCAAACCACAATCATTGAAGCATGGGCTGAACACCTTTTTTTTTTCTTCCCTAGACGGAGACAGAAGGCTGGGGTGATGACCTCAAATGGGAAGATGAGAATGCTTGGTGATCACTTCTACAGAAAGCCATATGAGAGATTCCCATAAATAACACTGCGTATGACATTATCACTAAAGGCCAGTCAATTATACCACAACTGATGTACAAATGTAATAATAAAGAACTACGGTTTAAAATAATATTGCATATTTTCAGGTTATCCCGTCAGTTTACCGTCACCACAGAAATTGTTTGACTATAAAAGACAATTCTGTGTAGTTTGATTTTTTAAAGTCAGCATGATGGACCTCAATATGCTAAATTCTATAAAGAATATTCAGTCTGTTGCACATAACCAGGAAATAGACCCACATTTAATGATAATTATTTGTGCCATAGAGCTTTTACGTTCAGCGAGCGTTAGAGGACTGAGAGCATCAACTCTCAGAAGAAATATATAGACTCTAATATGTGTTCACTAGAGGTGAGACCCTGACATAATTTATTTGTATTATCAGCTGCTGATGAAATAAAATGGTTTTATGGTATCTGACCTGGTTTGCTTCATTTACTGTATGTGTAGCACAGGGTATCTGTGGGGTCTTATTTACTGAAATATTGTGTTGTAGGTCTTAAATCTTTTTTGAACAGGTCTTAATTTTCCTTTGTCATGTATAGCTACCCAATCTGGCCAACAATTATACAATCACCAACACTCCATCCCAGTAAAACTTCTATTTACCATTGTTTAATTATTTGCATTACAATAACACTACATTAGCCCTGTAGGAGTCTAAAATTTCATTCATAATGGTCTTAAAGTCTTAAATTTTAATTTGCTGAAAACTGCAGCAATCCTGGTAGCAGTTTGTGATATTATGACACTCTTTAGTCTAACACTAAATTCTCAGAGCACAAACAGGTCCTTTGTACAATTAGCACTTGTGTGATTTGCTTCTTGTTGAACCCCTCCTAAATGGTAAGTCGTTTTGGACAAAATAATCTGCTAAAGTACTAAATGTAAATATATTTTCATTAAAAGTAACTATATCAGTCTTCCACTTACCTAGAGACAGTTTACCCAAAAAATTAAATCATTTACTAATCTTCCACTCATTCCAAACCTGTACGAGTTTCTTTTTTTCTTGAACACACTGAAGAATGTTGGGAAAAAACAACAGCCATTTACTTCCATAGATTTGTTTTTGTTCTGTTTCTACTATAGGTCAATGGCTCCTTTTTAAGCCTTCAAAATATCTTGCTTCGTGTTTAACAGAAGAAATTCATAACCGTTTGATTATGAGTACAAGGAAATTGTCATTTTTGTGTAAACTATGACTTTAAGGCTGGTTCACACTGCACTGATAGACCAATAGAACCCAGCAGAGATGTCTGCGAGTGATTTCGGGTCAGTGTTAGCCTCGTCTGGGTTTATTTTCAGCATCTGTACATGGTCAATCACTGTTTGCTGGGTTGTGGAATGTCTTGACTGTTTGGCATCATATTCCAACAAACTGATCTAATCTGGCAGTTGCTGTCTTTTAGTGCAGCATCAACTAGCATTGACAACATTCAACATATAATCTACATAAGTATCTGTAATATTTAAATCACTTATAATTAATTTTCTATTTAGTGCTCTGTACAACAATTCAGACAAAGCCTTACTATGTGTCATGGCATTATGAAATAGTCGTCTACTTTTTTCATAAATCCATTTTAAGGTTTTTATTGTGAATGACTTAATGGCCACTTTATCAGGTACACCTGAATAATGCCGTATTGGACCCCTTTTGCCTTCAGAACTGCCTTAATATTTCATGGAACAGATTCAACAAGGTATTGGAAATATTCCTCAGAGATTTTGGTCCACATTGACATGACAGTATCATGCAGTTGCTGCACATTTCCCGTTTTACCAAATCCCAAAGTGCTCTATTGGATTGAGTCCTGGTGACTGTGGAGGCCAGTTTTAGTGAACTAAACCGTTGATACAAGGCAGGATGAATCCATGCTTTCATGCTGTTGACAGCAAAATCTGACCCTACCATCTGAATGTTGCAGAGAAATCGAAACATCATACCAGGCAAGGTTTTTTTTTTTTTCTCTCCAATCTTCTATTATCCAATTTTATTGAGCCTATGTGAATTGTAGCCTCAGTTTCCTGTTAACTGACAGTAGTGGCACCCAGTGTGATCTTCTGTTGCTTTATCACATCCGCCTCAAGGTTTGACATGTTGTGCATTCAGAGATGCTCCTCTGCATACCTCAGTTGTGGTAGTGGTTATTTGAGTTATTGCTGCCTTTCTATCAGCTCAGACCAGTTTGGCCATACTCCTCTAACATCAACAGGGCATTTGCACCCACAGAACTGCCACACTGGATATTTTCTCTTTTTCTGAGCATTCTCTGTAAACTCTAGAGATGGTTGTGCTTGAAAATTCCAGTAGATCCTCAGTTTCTGATGACCAGCCTGTATGGCTCAGACTACCCTGCCACATTCAAGTCACTTTCTTCCTCATTCTGATGCACAGTTTGAACTGCAGCAGATCGTGTTGGCACTATCTACATGCCTGAATGAATGTTGCTGCTATGTGATTGGTTGATTGGAAATTTTCATTCATGAGCAGTAGGACAGGTGTAACTAATAAAGTGGCCAGTGAGTGTATAATTTTTATGACAGCACAAGATTTTGCCATTGATAGGGTCCATACATGTAATTTTGGAATTAAGGTAGTAATATGTCAAAGCTCAGAAATATCAGTTTACAAGTGCTTCTGAAGATGTGAAAAAAGGTTCAGAAAATGTTAGATATAATAATAATTCTCAATTGCACCATTACAGTGATCACTTTAAAATTCAACAAAGACAACAGACTAGCTCTAAAATGAACAAAACACAATTTTAATCAAGTTTATTAAACAACTTCATAGTCTTTGGAATGACCGTTTATCCCATATAAACTTTTATACAAACATCACGCGTAAACAAATGTAGTGAGATGAAATAATGCAGCCAAGAGGTAGAGGTGTTTTTGAGGTTGAATCAGGATTGCTCTTCAGTAGTGGTGTTGATTTGTGTTATGAGTGTTTGTAAGAGCTGAAGTCTGGCCCTGACCCACTGTGGTGGAGACGGGCTATGCTCTGACCTCTCTATTGCCTGCAGCGCTTTTAAGGCACCCTCTGCTGTCTGGAGATATCGCTCGTACTCCTCTTCTGCTTTGGTCTCCTGTCTTGCCCTCTTCGCACATGGCTGGCACAGAAGAGGATTTATGGAATTAGTATAAAGTCCTGTCAGATTTTTTTTCTTCTAAATTGAGCATTTTTCCTCAGACTCCCATGTATAGGTTCAACAATTTCACTAAATTGAAAGTGAAAGCTAGAAGTGATTCCAACTGACCAAGAGATTAGCTGAATGGATTCCAATATGGTAACAAAATTATTTTAACCCTAAGTGACTTGTTAAATGAGCCTATTTGCAAAAAAGCGCAGTGTTCTGTTGAAGTGGAATAACTGAACATAAACATAGGAGGCATAAAAATGATAATTTTAGATCTGCACATTTTTATCTGAACTACACATTTGTTCTATAGTTGTGTCAAACAGTAGAGTAAATAACCTGGTTATGAACTCACCTCTTCAGTAAGTGGCGTTTGTGCAGGTTGGCTTTTTTCACTCTCCATTTGCTGACAGTGTTTCTCTATAACACACTTCCACTCTTTCAGACGTTCTAGTCTTGTTTCTTCAGACTCTTGCCGTGAGACAGTCTACAGGAAGCAATACATTAACCTATACAGTACAAGGGCCACTGCACTACACAGACAAATGTTGATATAAAAGCCAAAAGTCCTCAAGTCTCTAACTTCATACCTTACTGAGGAAATTTAACACTTTGGATTTGACCTCCTCTGTTTTCAGTGTTTGAGAAATCACTTCCTCGTGGTTTGTTATCTAAGTTAAAAAAGAAACATGAGTTGGATTACAAATATGAACATAGATGAACTAGAATAGATGAAGAGGGATGAGATTTAAGATTTTCACCTAAAACATATGAGTTAATACAGGATTTGCTAGTAATTGCACATTTGGAGCATGTTGGGGGCTGATGAGGACATCGTCCATAATTTAACGTGTAACTGTGAGACTATTTAGGGTGAATTTAAAGCATGTGGTGTGGGCTGTGTGACCGCTGAATGACCTAAAAGTATTATTTTAATATCTCAAAACTAAAACAGCACAAAAAAATATTTTTGCAGCACAAATGAATAAGACCATTTTCACTTCACTTCAATAAGACCATTTTTCAACTTCACAGAGGTAATTTATATTACTTATTACAAATGCACTGCATTGGTGAATTGGCTGCTTATATTTGTCAATTTTTGGCTCAAGTTAAAGCCATTAACATATGAGCAATCATAAGAAAAGCCTAATATAAAACCAATATTTTATTCATTATGTGCTGGTCAATTTGAATTAAAAAAAATTGCATAATAATAACAATGTTAGACCGTTGAACGTTAAATCCAGTCCACATCAAGTGAAAATTATCTGATGATCCAACAGCAAACTAGCTAGTATATCTGATGCCCCTGCTTTGAACTTTAAAACATGATCAAAACAGCGATCTATTTAAAATCTATTTTATTTCAGAAAGGTCAGGTTTTGTGTAATTTCAAAAGTGTCAATTTACTTATGACATACAAATAACTGAGAATTCAATTCAATTCATTTTTATTTCTATAGCGCTTTTACAATGTAGACTGTCAAAGCAGCTTAAAATAGATGAAGTTGTAGAAATGTAAATGTCACTGCTGAATGCCCAAACACTGACTAGCAAATCCAACGATGCGCAGCTCCACGAGCCCCAACATGTTACTTAATTTTAAAAAAAGAAAAATATATTATGGGGGATATTCTAACCTCTGCAAAGCAGCCAAAGGCCTCCAAGACATGATGGAGTATCAGCCAGGATGGGCGAGTCAGAAAACCATTAAATAGAGAACTGATTTGGGGCAAAACTTGGCCCTGCAGTCAAACATATACATAGTCACATGGACAAAACTTAAACAGTCAGATGACTAATTGAAATAAATTAAATAAAATGTGCACATACCTGAATATTGGGAGGAATAAATATTTGTCCCAAGGAAGCAAGAAATTCCAAAGCAGCTAAAAGCAGGTCATCAGGACATTGATGGATACTCAAGCCACTCAAACAGGAAACAGCCTGCAATTTGCCAAAAATAAAAATAAAAACTTGTATCAAAACAAAAACAGGAAACAAAACATCTTTAAATCATTTACAATAAAGAATTATAAAAGGTCCTACAACCAAACTTCAACTTGGAAGTTCTAGTAAAGTCCAGATTTCAATGTTAAGCTGCTTTGACACAATCTACATTGTAAAAGCGCTATATAAATAAACTTGAATTGAATGCAAAGTAAATATGGAGGTAAAAGAAGCAGATGAAGTGCAGATGTAAAATCACCTGAAGGATGATGTGTGGCTCTAAACTTTTGATCAGAACAGCTGATAGTGACAGGAGTAATTTCACAGTGCACTGAAGTGTCACATGTACCTGAACCTGAAATAAGAGTAAGAATACAGCCTTTTTTGCTAAATAATATTACAATTTGTAGCAATGGCTTTATATTTTAAAAGAACATTACTCTGGTAATCATTCTAATATGCTGATTTAGTGCTCAAGAAAGATTATTTATGACTATTAACACTGAAAATAGTTCAGTTGCTAAATGATACAAGGAATTTTCAATTGATGAACAGTATATATTTAAAATTCTATATATATATATCCACGAATTCTTTATTTGTAAAATAAAGTTAATTTCTTCACATAAAGAATTTTACTGAACTCAAAGCCATGAACGCATCACCTGGCTGCTCCTCATGTGACTCCACAGCTGAGAGATGATCTTCACTAAAGACTCCACACATTCATTCTGTGTGCCACTGCCTCCTACAACCAGCAGCACACAGTCCAGTATCCGGTTCTGAATCACAAACAAACCACAGTTCAAATCCTGTACTAGGCAATAAGGGCACCGAGTCAGAACTGACATAATACAAATGTCTAAATTTTTACAACACAATAAAGCTTTGAAGTTTTAGAGTAACAATAGAAGTCCTTGAATCTTCCACTGCCAAAAGGTAAAATTGTGGATTTTGTGTTTATTGTTTATAAATTACAACCCACATCCGGATTAGTTCTGGGGAACACACATTTACAGCATTGGAACTTTAACCTTGGTCTAAGTTTCTCTGTTTGTTCATTATTATGGGGCCAGATTTACTACATTTTGTTATTAAAACAACAACAACAACAACAACAACAACAACAACAGTAAATATTTTTATGAGCAATATCACACTCGTAGCAGTGCAATATGGCTGTATATCGTAGACCGTATCGTATATAGTAAAAAAAAATAGTAATAGTAAAAAAATATATAAAAGCTTTTATCAGTCAAAAATTAACAGGCATGTGATCAGAGGACAAAAAAAGGGGAGAGGCAGAAATTTATGAAAATTCACATTATGTGTGGTGAGAGTGAAATCACATCCTTGATTAAGTGCTTTTTCAAAATACCTACTCAAAAAGAATGTGATTTTGCGAGTACTGAGTCACATTTTGGTAGTGGTTTGTTGTTAGTGAACATTATTATCAACTCCTCTACTGCTTGTTTGCGATCTAATTTGCATTGTGGGTCATAATGGAAATAAACTGCTATGTCTGTCTTTGAATTTTCATATTGTCAGTAGATCACCTGCAGAACTTTCTCAAACCAATTTGCATTTTTATGGGATTGCTGTCAAATTTGTATTGTTTAGCAAATCTGGCCCAGTGGGTGTCTTATTAAATGAGCTGTCTACAGGGAATTTATATGCCTGCACTTTTGATGCTTTTAAAAGCAAGGCCCTGTGTAATTCAACATGATGGCAAACAGAAGTTAAAATAGTTGGTGGTAGCCGTGTCAATTCAGTGCCCTCACCAGTCTCGGTATTTCTCCCAGCCTGCAGCCGCTGTTCTGCCATTCCTCCAGCACCACAGTAGCCCTGTCGAGCACCTGCTCCTCCACCCGCACACGGGCCTCTACACACAGACACTTTAGCAGAGTGTGACGCCACACACAAAGGTTCTCCTCCTGAGAAAGTGGAAAGCGCTCCACAAACTCCACCTGTCACAAAATACTTTTATAAATGTACCATTTAGCTACCCTAGAAACAAAAAGCAGTGGGAAAGGAAGTCAAAAACTATCTCAATCTCATTATTTTGACTTCTCAGGAAGTTTTATTTGGCATTATTGTCATGTTCATGCATTGTATCTGGTAAAATAAGAAAGTGAAAGTAACCTGGTGTTTTGGAGTCATCAGAAAAAGTAGGCGTCTGAGCACCAGGGCCAAGTGAAACAGTTGATAACCCCCAGCAGGACATGCCCTTAACTAAACAGTACAACAATAGTGTTTATGGAAACGGAGTTCATTGATAATGATCTTATTTTTATTGGGTATATAAAAAAAATCTGACTTTTTTGGGCTCAACACTTAAAAGAACCAATTATTAAAGGTTAAAAAAGTTCTGTACTTTTAAAAGGGTCAATAAAATAAAAAAACTTGTATAAAAACGTATTTAAAAGAAAATCAAAAACAGCATCACGTGACAAAGGATTAAACGTTTTAAATGATGTATATTTAATATGTAATTAAACAAAGCTTTCAATATATATATATATATATATATATATATATATATATATATATATATATATATATATATATATATATATATATATATATATATATATATATGTGTGTGTGTGTGTGTGTGTACACATTTAACCTATAGAACACAAATTGTTTACCCCAGAAAAATATACATCTACAGTAACAGCACACAAGACAAATGTCACAACGGTGCTGTGACGGACAGGTGTGCTCTACCCCATGTGCATTTGACACCAATTGTCAGCTCAATCAGGGTGTTAGAGAGAAGAGTCCCCTGTAGTCCCTTATCCCAGAAAAGATTTCAGAAATCCACAAGAGCACAGAAAAGGTCACATTCCCAAAAGACACAACTTACCAAATGAGCAATAAGGACAACATGATGATAACACAACTCAGCCGTGCCATACCTAAAGAGAGAACAGATCTGTATATAAACACACTCATATAATTCTTTAGAGCAATATACATTCAATGGCCACTTTATTAGGTTCTGAACGCACAACACGTTGCACCTTGAGGTGAATGGATTACAGCAGCAGAAGACCACACCGGGTGCCACTCCTGTCAGCTAAGAACAGGAAACTGAGGCTACAATTTACACAGGCTAACCAAAATTGGACAATAGAAAATTGTAAAAACATTGCCTGGTCTGATGAGTCTCGATTTCTGCTGCGACATTCGGATGGTAGGGTCAGAATTTGGCATCAACATGAAAGCATGGATCCATCCTGCCTTGTATCAACGGTTCAGGCTGGTAGTGGTTGTGGTATAATTGTGTGGGAGATGTTTTCTTGGCACACTTTAGGCCACTAGTACCAACTGATAATCGTGTCAATGCCACAGCCTATTTGAGTAATGTTGATGACCATGTCTCTCCCTTTATGACAACAGTGTTTCCATCTTCTGATGGCTACTTCCAGCAGGATAACGTCATAAAGCGCGAATAATCTCAGACTGGTTTCTTAAACATGACAATGAGTTCACTGTACTCAAAGGGCCGCCAGAGTCACCAGATCTCAATCCAATAGAGCACATTTGGGATATGGTCCATGATGCTATCATGTCAATATGGACCAAAATCTTTGTGGAATATTTCCAGTAAATTGTTGAATCTATGCCATAAAGGATTAAGGCAGTTCTAAAGGCAAAAGGGGGTCAAACCCAGTACTAGTAAGTTGTACCTAATAAAGTGGGCGGTGAGTTTACATTCATTCTCTATACTTAACAAGAATGTTATTTTTAGTAAAGACATTTCTGTATTTTTAGGGGAAAGTTTTGACGGATTGCCAAACCACAATGACAAAAGTCTGGAATTTTTCACTTTAGAAAAAACAGGAATGTCGTAATTGTTCATGCTCTGTGTCTTTGTGACATTTCTGGAAAGTACTAGTCACTGCAGTCTGATGGTCTATGCTCTTGGGTGTGTATCTGTACTTACCGAGCTAGGAAGCACCAGACATCTGTGGCCAAGAGAGCCGTCTGTGTGTCTGCCTGCAATACAGCGGCTAATAATGAGCGCTCCTGAAAAAAGGAAACAGAGGACAGCAAAGATCATATGACATTTCCTATTTATGCTCAAACATCCTATTCAAATTATTGTCACTCAGTGGACATCATTTCAGCATTTAATATCTAACACTGAGCATAAATGGGAAGACTTAAAATGTTCTATTACAAGAAATGATTACTGTATTTTAACATGCCACATCAGACTACAAGGGAAAAAAATAAGTGTTGCAGGAGTTTTAGTTCAAATAAATTGGTTATTCATAACATAAAACGAAAAATATAAAACAAACATAAATATACTCAATTGCTACACAATTTATTATCAACATTAAACCTAAATTAACTTAATTTTGCTTCAGTTTACGCAGCAAATGCTCTTCCAGTCACAATCCAGTAATGGGAAACACCCACACTTACACTTACACTCACACACACAAGCCAATTTAGTAGTTTAAAGCATCAATTTAATAAAGCATTTAGTTGTTTAAATCTCATTCCAAATGCGTTATATCATATTAATATGGCATATTAACAGCAGTGATTAATCACTTTCGCTCTCTTTAGTACCATGCATTAATTAATTTGACTATTAAAACAATATAATTAGCCAAATACTTGTGTCAAGCTGGAATGTGGCTTGTCTTTCTGTAAGACTTAAAAGAAAGAATATGCCCAAAAAATACTTTGATTGAATAAAGGTTTAAAAAGAGACTACTGACCAGTGGAGGGAAGTGTTGAGCGGGCAGAACAGCCACACAAGCACACATATGCACACACACATGCTGGTGCAGACTGACTGTACCCTGAGCCTGGCCTCGCAGCATTACCCCTGGTAAACACACTGGTACTAAACGCTCCAACACACACAGCCGGAAACTCTGGAACACCGCCTCAAACACGGACCATCTGAAGAAACAGAGGTTTTACTTGTGAAATTTACTATCGTGAGCAATGCTAAACTGCATCTGAAGAGAACTAATCAGTGTGAGGCGTAGTAAACGATAAAACAAATTGGATAAACTTAGATAAACTTTGTTTTATTGAAATTTTTATATAAATTGAAATCTGAAAATGTTTTCACTAACTGCCAAGCCAATTCAGGGATAGAAGAACAATTAAAAAGGCTGTAAACTCAACTGCATCAATGCTAGTCTGCAAGACTTTCATGAGATCATGTGACCATGATATTATCCAACAGTCCACCTGAAATACGCCGCTGTGCTGTGTGTGAATGAGAGAGAGCATGCATCCAACGTGGTGCTGTGTGTCGCTTATTATAGGCGGTCTGGACTCTGTAGCACCCAGCTGGACGTTTTTTGGGAGGCCCATTTAATCTCTATACATTTTGCATTCTTCCTTGGCTCAGTAGTATGTACCTGCTATGTGTATAGCAATAATGCTGATATGAGATATGAAACACAATAGGTAGTTGGCAAATATATAGAGGGGATTGGGTTGTAAATTTGACTTTAAAAGAGTAGCCTCACCAGCCATAAACGAGGTACTCATGTCTCATTATAAAATGAACAAAACTGACATTTAGCCAACAATCCTTGCACGACCTACACTTTTTTACGTTATCTCCCGCTTTTAGTAGTACCCAATTTTAATGTGAGATTTTGAAAACCAGATCTTAATTTAGCGGGAAGGGTCGGGTAGAAAACATGGCGGGTCGGGCAGCGGGTGAACAAAGGCTGAATATACAGCGGGATCAATCTGGTGCGGAATAAAACCTGGTGGCAGCAGGACTAAAAATTCAGTTCTGCACAGATCTCTAGTGCACATCATGATTTTGATCTATGTTGATCTTGGAACATCATTTTTTTTTTTTTTTGAAAATGAAATTCATACTTATTTCCTACCCCTAAACCACTATAACTGTAAATGATTCCCAAAATCAGAGGGTAATAATAGTTGGACAACAATCATGTAGAAGTGCTAAACCCAACCGTAAGCCTAAACTTAACATAAACAGTAAATGTATCCTTTAATTGTGAATGGCTGATTGAAATGTTGTACCAGGATCAACATAGATGTTAATCCGGGAACATGTCCTACTTGGTGAAATCAAGTTGGCAACTGTAAAGTACCTTGGAGTTTCTTCTGGAAACTGGCTGCCATCGCTCCACAGCCGCAGCGCTTCTTCTGGCTGGGATGACAGCTTACCCATAACATTCACCAGCAGCAGACACTGTGGTAGAAAAAGTTTGGCACTGCTCTCTAAAATTCACAAATAATAACAACAACATATTTGAAACAAGACAATGTTTGAAAATGTTGCATATATGCAAAAAATAATCATTTATAAGTCTGTGGTTAATCTGAAAACATCAAATTACAAATAAAATGAATTTTCCAAATGTCTACATAAGATCGGTCATGAAGTGCAACACCACATTTTGCAGTGCGTGATGCACTGTCCTGTAATAATAAAAGGGCATGAGCACATATTCAATTTAAGTGACCTGGAAATGCTCAGGATCTACACTCAGCAGTGTGTCATGGACAGTCAGTCTCTTGTGCATTTCTTATATAATCGCTTCCGTGACATGAAATAAATTAATACCCTATTCTTCTCATCCTGCTGAGATCTTTCCTGAGATCACACATATTACACTCAACACAACATTAATGTCCAGGTTGAATGATCTATAAGCTTAGAATGGACAAGCAAAACACTTGAGGAAGGAAATGTTAAAAGTAATTTTCTGGAGTTCAAGAGGACACTGGAAGACGATACGATTATTTGAAAAAGATCTCACGATGGTCTGGGTTCAGGACAGACTCAGCGAAGGGTTGAAAGGACATCATTTGTGTCAGCATGGCATCCATAGGAACCAGAACTGCCACTCTCAGCTCCTCACTAAGTGTAGGAGGCACGGATGGGGCACAGAGAGATGGAAGAAACTTGCTAATGAGTGGAGAAAAAAATTTTAATTCACAATTAGACATCATGACCAAAACAGAGAAATTTAACAGATGATATATAAATAAACATCTGGCAAAAGTGTGATTCTTGGTTTTTAGGTTACTGTATTAGATGGTTTTATAAAATGATGAATCGTATAAATAAAAGATAAAAAAAATGTTAACCCCTTTAAACACAGCAGATGTGCTTATTAAAATTACAAACTTTTGAGTTTTCCAGTGTTTGCATTTAATTAAGTATAAATCATCACCAGAAAATTACAAATCCTGTGGGAAAAAATGTAAAGTATATAAGGCTATGTTCACACTGTGAGGCTTAGTCTAATTTTTTCTCTGATCTGATTGTTTTGCATAGCTGTTCACATTGTTGTTATAAATGTGGCCAATATCAGATTTGCAGTGTAAACAGATCTTGGTCCTAAACTGACCTGTATTTGTAAAAGTATAATTAAGGACATGACAAAAAGTCTAATTATGCACACAATGTGTATACTGTACGAAGTACACTGTCAGTTAATGCTTCATATGATTATTGCCCTTTTCATAGACAGCCATGGTGTATTTCATGAACTGTAAAGGCTTGTCCTGCAACTACTAATGTGTATTTCACCATTTGTAACCTAAAATAAGTCTCTTGTGATTGAAATCACTGATAATTTGTAATTTATGACAACCGCAGTGCAAGTCTTTCTGACCACCGTTGTAGTGAACTTATCAAGGGTAATGAGCAGCCGCAGACTGAACTGTGAAGGCGGAGTTGGTTTATCTCTGTTTGCGGAGTTATTTCATTTTACTTCGTTATAAACAACAGGCACATGAAGAAGGGGGATTTGGATGCTTGCCTTGAGCACTTGCCTTTTTTTCTTTGGAGAGAAAGTTTCCCTTGAAATGAAAGCGCACCCTCCTTTGTGTACAGATCCCCCATCCGTAACACTGCTCTTCAGCTTTGCGATCAACGCGTACCCCAATCGTGAACCAGACTGGTTAACAGGCACGTCTACTATGCTGAGGAGTAAATGTAGTAGTTTGCAGCACAGAATGATGACGCATGTCACTTAAAGATTATGTAAAAGTCTACATGATCTTTCACACTGCAGTCGGATTGCAAAACATTAGATCTGTACCTGATTTAATTCTACATATGAAAGTGGCACAAATCAGAACTGAAAAGATCACATTCCATGCGGTTTGGGCTGTTCACACTGTCATTACCCGAGTCACGTGGGCATAAAAATCTGACTCGGGTCACCTTTGACTTCAGTGTGAACATAGCCTAATACTTAAAACTTTATTAAAACCCCAAGCCAGCAGAACAGTGTATGTATTTATTGATTTTTCTTTTTAAGACAACTTGAGAAAACTTTGACTTTTTAACTTTTGACACTTTTTAAGAACCAGCAATGTAATTACCTATTGATTTGGAGATACAACTGGTGAAATCGACTGCATGACTTGGAAAGAAACACTTTAAATTCCTATCACAAAAAAAAACATTATTGTTGTTTTAGACTGTTAAAATCATGGTCTGGTCATGGAGGAATAACTTTCATTTTAAGTTACCTTTGTGTAGTGGACTAATGTGTTGGCAAAAAACCTGCACATCTTTGTTGCTTTTTGGAAAAGCTTGTATTCTGGAGAGTGTACAGCTTCCTATTAAAAACAAAAGGAGGAAGGCAGAGTCGAGTTGACCTTTCTTGCAACAACACATTTTCTTAACAGTGTTATCAAAAAAGTCCCTGGCACGTGTATCTAGGTCATCGTTATTACCACTAAAAATACCATACCAACTATTAACTTTAACTGAAGGGTCTCCTTTACCTGTAGGCCTGCCTGTTGGATCTGTTGAGCCAGCTCAAGACAGTTCTCGACAGACCTACACAGGTCTTCACATAACGCAAAGGAAATGTCAGTGTGGTGAAGCCGATCCTCTACTAGAGACTGGTACTTGATACTCTGTCTGAAATCAATGCGAACTGTTAGCACAGTCATTATGTGCAATTAAATAATCATTTATAAACAATGGGCAAAAGGTTTTTTTATGATCATTATCTTGTTATTGAAAAAGTTTCCTGGCTTAGTTTACTCACTTATAATAAAAAAAAATCAACAATCTAATGTAGGGGCATCACAGTGGTACAGTGGGTAGCACGATCGCCTCACAGCAAAAAAGGTCGCTGGTTTGAGCCTTGGCTGGGTCAGTTGGCATTTATGTGTTGAGTTTGCATGTTCTCCCTGTGTTCCCGTGAGTTTCCTCTGGGTGCTCTGGTTTCCCCCACAAGTCTAAAGACATGTGCTATGGGTAAATTAGGTAACCAAAATTGTCCGTAGTGTACAGTATATGTGTGAATGAGTGTGTATGGATGTTTCCCAGCCATGGGTTGCAGCTGGAAGGGAATCCGCTGCATAAAACATATGCTGGATAAGTTGGCAGGTCATTCTGCTGTGGTGATCCCAGATTAATATAGTGACTAAGCCGAAAAGAAAATGAATGAATGAATGAATCTAATGTAATTTGATCATTTGACATACAAGTTATTTTCAACCAGGGTGTTATAAAAAAAAAACATCCATTCAATTACACTTAATTTTTTAAATAATTTTAAATGCTACTAAGAATTTGAGAGGCTAAATGACGTAATATTCTGATGTTGCTCAAGAACAAAGGTCCATTTTTGCTTACTGAACTTTTCAGAATATGTCACTTTTATTAAGTGAAACATGCTGCATTGTACTGACATATCTAATGCAATTAACGAAATGTCAATATAATATGTCAAAGCACACATTATATTGATACTAAATGAGAGGGTTGTAAAAGCAACTGTATAGTGCATTTCTCATACAGCACACAGCATGTATCAGCAGGGTTTCTGCAGGTTTATTCAAGCCAAATTTAATACTCTTTTAAGACCATTAAGATTTTAGACTCATACAGAGCTAAACACTAAGGATTTTTTCTAATGGCCAAGTTACTTCTGTAAATAGTTTTTGTATTAATACAAGACCTTGCAAAAGGATGTATTGCTTTAGTTTTCTTTGCCTGATTAGGGAATTTAGTTTGGATAATTTGCTGTAAAATGTAAGTAACTGCTGTTGTGAATTGTATCTCTTTGCAATAAAATACTTAAATATAAAGAAAAGGTTTGGAAATTGATTATTTGTTATTGGGATTCAGCCTGATTGGGTAGCTTTACCTGTACATAGAAAAAAATATGACTTGTTTAAAATGAGTTAAGAACTACCAGACAATATTTTAGTTATTAAAGTCTAAAATTTTGTTCTTGAAATTTAAGACATTTTAAGATTTTTAAGACCCTGCAGACACCCTGATCAGTTTTACTTTAAATTCGTTTGGGCTTGTTGTTTAAAATAATGCTACTTATAAATGAATGCCACTATAATTTCTGCTTGTTTGATTTTTCATTCTTTTATATATTCTATATACTGTTACATTAAACTACTTTGTTCTGAAGTAAGGAGAACTAAAATACAAGGTTTATTATGATTAATTTAATTACCTTTTCTTTAATAAAAATGTGACTAGCAATGTGTAATACAGTCAGATCAAATGTGACTTATTGTTCTGGAAAATATTGTAGATTAAATATAGTCTTAGACAAATGGGGTACTTGGAGTCAAAAAATTTAATTTCAGCTTCAACTTCAAATAATGAAATAGCACTCGACACAAAATGAACATTTAAAATGGTTTCTATTCAAACAAATATAATACTTCATGATGCACATTATACTCACTTAATAATAAATTTCCATGTGTTGGCATGTAGAGCAATGTCCAGCCTGGATATGATCAAGCATATGTCCAGCAGACTGTGGATCACTGCAGGCCAAAAAATTTAAGTTAAATACATACAGTAGTCAACACTTGAAGCAGATCCAAACCTTTTATCAAAGTTGTCCTAAAACTTTTGAACAATTCTTGTCTTAGAACTATTTTCAAAACTTTTTTGATACACTTCAAATCTTGACTCTTTACTAAAAATTGAGTGGAACAATATTAAACATTTCCATAATGATGCCACAAAAATAAGAAAACTAAGATAGTCTATAAATTATCTTATTCTGAATTATATACAAACATGGTTGGTCTTGTTAAACACCAATAATAAAAATTATAAGATTATAAGTCCAAATTAAAAGATGCCACAAACCTGTGACAATATCTGAAATTTCCTCCTCAGATGCAGTGTCTTCAAAGTTAATCTTGTCCAAAAGTTCCATCAGGCCCTTCTGCAAAGAATAAGCCTCTTTAAAGAGGCCTTGGAGGAGATCACCAACCAATGACAGTCTTCCACTGTACATGACCTCACTGTCCTATAAACATATCAACATAATACTGAAATCTACAGCAAATATAATTATATGTATAACCACTAAAACAGATAAGAGGTGTTGTTAGTTTAGACATATTAATTCCATTTTAAGGTATGTTTGTGTATTATTTTATATCAAGTAAAGAATAACAAACCTTGCAGTGCTGAAAGGTGTCCTTTAGGACTCCAAGGATGCAAGAGGGCAAAGAACGAATGTTGCTGAAGGAAACAGACTCTTCAATGGAACAGACATGTCTCACACAGCCAGAGAGACACTCCAGTGTCTGGACCATCGTCTGGCCAAAAACACAGCAGAAGAATGCTCTATGACCAGAGAATGACTGACTGAACAAGACTGAAATATTATCAAATATTCAAACCTTCAGGATTTTTCTCAGAAATAATTGCAACTCTGTGTTCTGACTAGAAAGGCCTCCAATTTGCTTGCTGATTTCTTCCAAAAGACTTGCGAACACTTTTACAACCTGTGAATTGTACAAGACATTGTGGAAACATGCTTAATTGTTGAATACTTGTGGAATTTTTAGAGGGATGGAATAAGTAACGGTAAGATCTTCTTTAACGGACTGGTTATGGCAGAATTTGGCAGCATGTTGTCTAAGCCAGACATCAAAAGTGAAAAAGACTGTGCATCCAAAAAACACACAAGTCCGAACTACTGTATATAGCAGGAAACAAACACAGTAGGCCAAATACATTGGATAAAAGAGTAGCCAGAAGATCTGGTTTGGTAAAGTCAATTGATCCACTACCCAAGCACAATAATTGATTAGGTTGTTAAAAACAATTATACAGTACTCCTATTTGCTGTTGATCGAATATTAATAACATCTAAGTGTGCTTATTCTTTTATTATCTTCGTGACTTAATAGTATGGTTTAAATATCACATAATTAATAAGAAAATGCACCAGAGCATCAAATAAAAAGGGCAACCTGTGATTAAACAGTCATTAGAAGAAATTTAAATCTCAAACCTTGGGTAAAGCAGTGGAGAAACATCCCGTCTCTAAATCAGATAGAGAGAGATGAGGGAGAAACCTGCTTGTGATTATTTGCAGAATATCTGTGGAGACACAAAAATGAAAAAAAAAACTTAAAATGATGCATTATTAAACAAAATTAATGTTTATTGGGGGGGAAAGCAATAAAAGCTCATACAATAACAACAACAAAAAAATCTGAAAACACCAAGGACGTTTATTTGACACTTATTTGCTTCAACGTGTCCCAAGTCAGAAACTGTAGAAAATGATGACAGCTCAGACTTACTTGTATGCTCTTCCCAGCTGTCAGTATCATGATGCATGGCGTGCAAGAGTCAAGGATAATTTAAGAACAAACGCCATCACAGGTAACGTAAGTTGGTCCTACACAATCAAATACACGTGTGCAACTCCTGGCCACATTCAAATACTGCCTTCAACGTTATTAACGTTAGTGAACAGGGGAGAAAAGTGTTCAGAAAAGGATATAACTAGTTTAGGCAGGACAGTTTTGAGTTCTTGTTGACAGGTCTCCTGGTTCCACTGAGAAACTTCGTCCAAGAGAGTCACTTGAGACATCGTGGTCACTTTTAAAAACACACCTTATAAACAAAGTTGCAACTTACATTAACAAATCTCCAGCCGGCATATCGATGGCCAAACATGTATACTTAAACAAGATAACTTTACCCGTTATATTATTCATTCAGTTATACACCTTTTAGAACAAATAACTAGACAACTTACGTACTCGCTCAAAAGGAAAATTAGCGTGTAATAACGCGTTGATATGGTGATTATTTACAATAACATCTTAGGACTTTTGATTTCCTTGTGCTGCTGGTCGACTCGGTTCGCCAGTTCTGTATGGGGGTTCCAGAAGCTTAAAAATCGGATCAAGTATAGGTCTAGGCAAATACATTGCTCATGTTGTCAGGGTATTTCTTACTAGTTACAGGTATCATGGAAGAAATGCTAATCAAATGTCAGTATTAAGCTGGTACTCGTTTTACTTAAAATGACGATGCTTACACCCCCCTTTATACTTCAAGTGGTATCGCTCAAAGTTTCCCGCCGTTTTGATGTGTGTGCCTAAACTCATCTCATTTACACCGCTCTCTACGACGATTGGTCTGCTATTTTGCAAACGTCATTTATAATCCAATCACAAACGAGCGATTGTTCAATCGATGATAACTAAATGGTGACGCTGTGAAACAGCACCACCGTGATTTAAACAAGTTTAACCTAAAATGCAAGCGTTTTACTCCAAAAAGTATAGCAATGTTGTGTAGGATTAAGAGTCAACCACACCATGTTAAATTAAACTAAAATTGCGAAACATAACTGAATTAAAGGGAGTAAGAACCTAGAACTTTTGTTTTGACAAGTTTAGTTTAAGATAAAGGAGGAATTTAAGAAACGAGTTTCAGGTTAGAAACAGAGGGACATGTCAGATACACTCATCTAAAAGACTTCCATATATTTAATAAAAAAATAAATAAAAAATAAAAAGCATTTTGTAAGAACACAAGTTACAGTAATTTTGAAGCTAATTTGTAACTAAACCAACCAGCATACATAATTCAGCCACGTGCACTGAAAGAGTAATAATTCTTAACGTAAAGTAGCCTTTTTATTGCATATAACGATGGAAATTTTTTTCTTGAGTAATCTTAGAAGACAAGATTACATTTATTTTTAAGTTGCATTTATAAATATTCAGTACCATATAATGCCTTGAGGGGGGGGTGGGGTGGTATCTGGAAGAATGTGCTGCACTCGTCGCAAGACAAAAAAAAAAAAAAAAACACACACTTTTATTATTAGGAAAAGGGCCAAAATTTAATGCAGTCTGTCAACAAAACCCTCTTAAATCCTATAATGACACACACCAATTCAGAAGAACTTAATATTTTTTTATTTAAAAAGAAACCACTTTAATGCCAGATGTATGTGCAGGGATTTGGAAGGGACCAACTTGGGCTTTTCCCTCATACTGAATACCTGCTGTGAAGAGAAAGCAAATAAAGTTACAATGAACTCAAGACAAATCCAATTCATTTGAGCTTAGTGAAAAATACCTGGAGCTACGGTTAACTGAGTCTTTTGTCCACAGCTGGTATCACAGCAAGCACACACTTGATCACCTCCATCAGCAGAGACCCAACTAAAGCAGAACAATTGTAAGGGGAAGTGGGTCAAGTTAAAGAATAAGTGAATCCAATAGGACTTACCCATTTTTGATAAAAGAACAAGCCTTATGGTGCTCATTAATTAAAGACTGAGCAGCTACAGTTGCTTTCAGAAGACATGTGATGTAAATCTGCAGGTACGGGAAGAAAGAAACATTAGACAGAGCCAGAGGCGTTAAAACAAAAAGTACCAAAAAGTTGCTTTACAATACATACAAATCCACTGATTTCCTTCTGGAACCTGAAGGCCTCCAACTGAAACCGTAGTTTGTTATCTTGCACTCGCGGCAGAAATTTAGAGGATGAGCCAGTGTACTTAGCGTCAGTGAGACAACTAAAACAAAATAGCCAGCTTTAATCATCAACTATAACTCTAGACTTGCAGAGATCCTTCAAAAAGGTCTTCTTACCCATGATTTTCAATGACAGAATATGCAGGAGCAGAGTTCACATCAGGGGTTGCAGTGGCCACACAGGCATCCACAAAAACACGGAGGGGAACATGGTTATACTGACTCACAGATGCCTCAATATTAAAGATGTCACCCAGGAAGAAGACATTGGTTGGCCTCTCATACATCCAGTCATCTGCAAAACATACAGACAATGAGCTTTCTGAAACCATAAGGTGATAAATAGAGGCAGCAGTACAAACCAGTCATAAGCTTCAGCGAGAAGACCAGAACATCCTCTGCAACAGCAGTGGCTGCATATGGTGTCCAAGCTGGCAGCAGGGCAGAACTGCTCACATTGTGTTTCCTGTAATCAAACAGCCCAAAAATCAGGCAATCAAATCCAAACTACATAATTGGCAGAGTAGCAGATTTAGGAAAACCTTTACCTGGAATAGTGGCACTCAATACCAACTGTAGTTGCAATAGACCTTGCAACTGGAATATTCGGCAATACTGCTGGTTTATAATCAATGGTGAACACATAGACAAGTTCATCTTCAGTCATCTGGGAAAAGAAATAATGGTTTAGAAACAGAACTACACCATAAGAGCAAATAGACAAGAAGGAAACCCACCACAAGCTGACTGCCACAATCCTGAAGAGCTGACTGAAAAATGAGAACTCCTGCAGCTGTATCTACATCCAACACACCACAGCCTCCTAGAGAGAAGGAAGAGGGCTCAAGCAGGTGACCAGTGCCAAAAAAGTCCTGCTTCACCTCCACATGAACACCATTCTCAAAACACTGGACTGCCACGGTGTTTGGAGTCTGAGGTTGATGCAACTGAAAGTTAACGTCTAGCTGTGCTGGCTTTTCTTGGACAAGTGGGAACTTCCAGTCAACCTTACTGGAAACTGGGCTCAGCATTTCTTGTTTGGACTGAACGCTTGATACCAGATTTGAAGCCAGTGGAGCCCTCAGAGACTCAACTTTAACAGGACCTTGAAGTAGTTCCCAATGTCCCCTAAGCGGATCCTCATGTATATGAGGACCTCCGATCATCTTCCAGTGGTCTAAAGAACGGGCCTGTGGTCTGGCACTGAACACTGCATCAACTGCAACCAGCAGTAAAAAACCAAGCACACGTTGACTAGACCACATTGTCAGACACCAGTAAGCCATACAACTACACTGCAGTGAAATCACTTAGACCTTGTTTATAGTGTCCTGAATATTAGTTCTGCCCACATCCAAACAAGCTTAATTGGTCAGTGGACCATCCCAATCACAGAATCAGTTATTCAATTACAATGATGGTCGGTCACTAATTAACTCTACAAAACTCATTGACTAAAACTACTGGCTACTATTTTGTGAAACTAAGATATTAATAATGTTTTTACATTGTTTATTTTCATGGGCTCATATTCAATAATAATTCATATTTATTATGTGCAATCAAGTCTGACAGATTAATATATATGCATACTACATAATACATTTAGATTTATGAAAACATACAGCAGTAGATCCAATAAGGTAATGCAGAAACAGGAAAGTAATTACACATTAGAATCCAGTTTTACTGTTTGTAGAATCACTGTAAAGGGAGAAAAAGGTCTGTAAAGAGATGATGCCCATAACATTGGCAGGATGTTCTAAAGACAGCTCCATTAAAGAGACTCTATATAGCTCTCACATGAAGATGATTAAGATGTTAGACAAAAGTGGGACTTGCATCTTTAATTCAGATCATGAAATTCCTCTCGGCACAGTCTGAACATGAAAAATGATTCTAATTGTAATCAAACAAAACAGCCAAACAGTTCAAATTAAATAAACATGTACTGCTACTATAAAGATTACATGGAATAATTTGAACCTTTCTATTATTCAGATACCACAAACGCATGCTTTCTCCTCATGCAGTCTATGGTTCCATCAGGACATTCTGCAAACAATAGCCTTTTTAAAAAGAATTCGGAGAAAATAGCCCACCAATGACAGTCTTCCCCTATGCATAGCGAGCAAGTGTCACAAACAGAGAGTTGGCAACCAATGGCCGCATGCAGCACTTTAGCAGAGACAAATCTACATGGAAATACAGTGTGCAGGTTATAAGTTTCATTTTTCAGTACACACTAAGTAATGTTTCAAAGAGAAGAACCCTTACCATACTTCACATATAAATTATTTATATGTAGAATAAAATTTAAGTTAAAGTTTAAAAAATAAAGTTGTAATATTAAAACCATTACACTTCTTGTCCACTTCCTTGCAGTTTGACCCATGATTCTTTAAGGGAAGCATTATTAATGGACAATAAGTAATTTTATTGCTTACTATTTCTTGAAAGTGCCCTTTTTTCTTGGGATGCATAAGAAAAGAATAGCTGTGTTCGGTTTGCCTCTCAAAAATATATATTTCTAGAGTACCAGGTTTACCTACTCCAAGCCGGCCTCAAACCAGCAATTACTTTTAGGCAAGCACTCTGAGGACGCTAGCTTTCTATCATGTTTGTCAGTAGAGGGGAGTGTAGTCGTCCTGCATAGCACTGCAAGCTGACCTCTCTTCCTATTACACAGAACCAGTAGAGCTGCTTAATTTTCTTCAGCATATATACACTAACAAAACTCCATGGTTTGGAAGCCTTTAAGGGAGAAAAAAAGGGAAATTAAATATTTTTGATGCATTTAAAAATGCCATTTTTTCAATTGACCCGCTGCCTCAATGTCTTTAAAAGTCCCTGACTAAAGCTACAGTCACACTAGAGTTTGTGTGCACAAAATTGTTGTACGGCGCTGCAAAAAAGGGCAGGAATAAACAAGATTAGGCATTATTAAAAAAGAAAAAAAGCAATTACTCTACATTTTAAATTTGTCCAGAGAGGTCATGTTTTGATCCTCGGTTGGTCTCACCCAGACAAGTTATGCAATTTTGCAGGTCAGAGTTCATCAAGCTTGAACTTTGCACCGCAGCAACCTGCAAAACTTGACGCATGACCCCGAATTACTGGTCTGACCCATTTGTGTGCATATAAAGGGAAGTCTATGGGAGGAAAAGCCCAGTGTGACCGCAGCTTTACAAGCTTCCCACTTAAAAATAAATAGACTTTTATTGCATGGCCCTGCCAGTGAAGGTTGTAAAATAACTAGTACAAAGTAAAACTTGTATAGGAATATTAAGCAGTTTGACATTGCTTTTGTACTACAAATGGTTTATGTAAACTTTACATCAATTTCAGAAAGCATCTTTTTATGCCTACATATATATTTTTATAGTCAACTTTAAGCAGGCAATAAACTATACCTAGGCAAGCACTGAGGATGCTAGCTTTTATGTAACAGTCAGACCAGGACAGGCAACATCCTAACAGAAGTCACACCATCACGTTGTGGTACAACAGTGCACATCTCTAAATAATCCAGTCAAATATTGTGGCTCTGCAAATTAATTGGTGGGAGAAGGGTTTTAAAAAAAAAAAAAAAAAAAAAAAAAATCCGATTTGCTCATCCTCATCTCAGTGAAAAGCACATCTTAAAACATCAGAATGACTTGGTGATTTGTACAAATAAACACAAGTTCAGGAGAACTCTAATCTTTTATTTAAAAAGAAACAACTTTAATGCCAGAACTTTGTGAAGGAATTTGGAAGGGACCAACTTGGGCTCTTCCCTCATACTGGATGCCGGCTGTGAAAATAAGCAAATAAAAATGTATAAGACAAAGTCAGTCTTGCTTTTCATGTCTTTCATATGAAAAATACCTTGAGATGCAGTGAATGCAGTCCTGGGTCCACAGCTAGTATCACAGCAGGCACACACTTGATCACCTCCATCAGCAGAAACCCAACTAATGGTTAAAAGAAGTGTTAGGGGAGTTGGGTTAAGTTAAGAATTAAGTTCGTCAATCAGGACTTACCCATTTTTGATGAAAGAACAAGCTTTATGGTGCTCATTAACTAAGGATTGAGTAGCTACAGTTGCTTTCAGAAGACATGTGATGTAAATCTGCAGAGAGGGGGGGGGGGGGTTAAAGGGATAAGCCATTAGACAGAACCAGGTGGTGTTAACACAAGTAGCTTTGCAATACATACAAATCCACTGATTTCCTTCTGGAACCTAAAGGCCTCCAACTGAAACCGTAGTTTGTCATCTTTCACTCGGGGCAAAAACTTGGAGGCCGAGCCAGTGTACTTGGCATCAGTGAAGCAACTGAAACAAAGTAGTCTTAGGACAAGAATACCTTCCCACTAATAGAAAGTCACCAAAAGGTCTTCTTACCCATGATTTTCAATGAAAGAATATAAGGGAGCAGCGTTCACATCAGGGGTTGCAGTGGCCACACAGGAATCCACAAAAACACGGAGGGGAACATGGTTATACTGACTCACAGATGCCTCAATATTAAAGATGTCACCCAGGAAGAAGACATTGGTTGGCCTCTCATACATCCAGTCATCTGCAAAACATAGACAATGAGCTTTCTGAAACCATTGTGATAAATAGATGCAGCAGTACAAACCAGTCATAAGCTTCAGCGAGAAGACCAGAACATCCTCTGCAACAGCAGTGGCTGCATATGGTGTCCAAGCTGGCAGCAGGGCAGAACTGCTCACATTGTGTTTTCTGTAACCAAATACTCAAACATTAGGCAATCAAAATCAAAGCTACCTTAGTTAGCCAAGCAATATTCGATTTAGGAAACACTTTACCTGGAGTAGTGGCACTCAATATTAACAGATGCACTATTAGACCTGACAACTGGAATGTTCGGCAACACCGCTGGTTTATAATCAATGGTGAACACATAGACGAGTTCATCGTCAGTCATCTGAGAAGGGGGGGGGGGGGGGGGGGAAATAGTTTAGAAACTACAGCAGGACACCATACAAGCAAAATGACAAATTAAATAACTCACCACAAGCTGACTGCCACAATCCTGAAGCGCTGACTGAAAAATGAGAACTCCTGCAGCTGTATCTACATTCAATACACCACAGCCTCCTAAAGAGAAGGAAGAGGGCTCAAGCAGGTGACCAGTACCAAAAAAGTCCTGCTTCACTTCCACATGAACACCATTCTCCAAACACTGGACTGCCACAGTGTTTGGAGTCTGAGGTTGACGCAACTGAAAGTTAACGTCTAGCTGTGCTGGCTCCTCTCGGACAAGTGGGAACCTCCAGTCAACCTTACTGGAAACTGGGCTCAGCATTTCTTGTTTAGACTGAACGCTTGATACCAGATTCGAAGCCAGTGGAGCCCTCAGAGATTCTACTTTGACAGGACTTTGAAGTTGATCCCAATACCCTCTAAAGTTATTATCAAGCAGATGAGGACCTTCCATGATCATCCTCTGGTCAAATGAACGTGCCTGTGGCCTGGCACTGAACACTGCAACCAGCAGTAGAAACCCAAGCACACATTGACTAGCCACCATTGTCAAACACCAGGAAGCCACACTGCAGTAGAAGCAGTAAGCCCTTGCTTATAGTGTCATGAATTTTAGTTCAGCCCACATTTAAACAAGCTTAATTGGTCAGTGGACCATCCCAATCACAGAATCAGTTATTCAATTACAATGATGGTCGGTCACTAATCAACTCTACAAAACTCATTTAATAAAATCAGTGCTGTACAAACTCGGTCCTGGAGAGCTTAGCTACCACCCTTATCAAACTTACTTGCACCAGCTAATCAAGCATTTGATAGATATACTAGACGTCATGGCAGGTGTGTTTAGCAAGTTGGAGCTAAACTCAGGACACCGGCCCTCCAAACCGAGTTTGGACACCCCTGAATAAAATAACTGACCTATTTCGATTAAAAAAAAAATGAATGAGTGGACATATTTCCTTGTAACTGAACTTCAACTCTGAAAACTGGACTTCAATTTACTAGAACTTCTATGTTAAGCTACTACACAATCTACATCTATAAAAGTGCTATAGAACTAAACATGAGTTGAATTTATATGAAGTCTGAGTAAAAATAAGGGAGTGAACACTGAAACAAGTGTGTGATTACACATTCCCACACATTAACTACCAGAATACATTTTTACTTTTAAAGAATTACTGCCAATATTACTACTCAACTACTGTATATGCCACACCTCTCTACTTTAAAGTATCCTTGACGGTAAGTGTGAACACACGTGTCAGACTCATGCTCAAGTGGAAAAAAGCCTGTGAAGAGGCGGATA